TAGAAAGTGGCTTTAGCAGCAGAAACAGATGAAGAAAATGTAGAGAGGAGGGAGTGAAAAGATGCCAGGTCCGCAGGGAGTCTAGTTTTCCTCCATTTCCGCTCGGCTGCCCGGAGCCCTGTTCTGTGAGCTCGCAATGAGTCGTCAAGCCACGGAGCAGGAGGGGAGGACCGAGCCGGCCGGGAGGATAGGGGACATAGAGAGTCAAAGGATGCAGAAAGGGAGGAGAGGAGGGTTGAGGAGGCAGAATCAGGAGATTGGAGGGAGAAGGATTTAGCAGAGGGAAGAGATGATAGGATGGAAGAGGAGAGAGTAGTGGGAGAGAGAGAGCGAAGGTTTCGACGGCGTATTACCATCTGAGTAGGGGCAGAGTGAGTAGTGTTGGAGGAGAGCGAGAGAGAAAAGGATACAAAGTAGTGGTCGGAGACATGGAGGGGAGTTGCAGTGAGATTAGTAGAAGAACAGCATCTAGTAAAGATGAGGTCAAGCGTATTGCCTGCCTTGTGAGTAGGGGGGACGGTGAGAGGGTGAGGTCAAAAGAGGAGAGGAGTGGAAAGAAGGAGGCAGAGAGAAATGAGTCAAAGGTAGACGTATGGAGGTTGAAGTCACCCAGAACTGTGAGGGGTGAGCCATCCTCAGGAAAGGAACTTATCAAGGTGTCAAGCTCATTGATGAACTCTCCAAGGGAACCTGGAGGGCGATAAATGACAAGGATGTTAAGCTTGAATGGGCTAGTGACTGTGACAGCATGGAATTCAAATGAGGAGCTAGACAGATGGGTCAGGGGAAAAAGAGAGAATGACCACTTGGGAGAGATGAGGATTCCTGTGCCACCACCCCGCTGACCAGATGCTCTCGGGGTATGCGAGAACACATGGTCAGACAAGGAGAGAGCAGTAGGAGTATCAGTGTTTTCAGTGGTAATCCATGTTTCCGTCAGTGCCAAGAAGTCGAGGGACTGGAGGGTAGCATAGGCTGAGATGAACTCAGCCTTGTTGGCCGCAGAAAGGCAGTTCCAGAGGCTGCCGGAGACCTGGAACTCCACGTGGGTCGTGCGTGCAGGGACCATCAGGTTAGAGAGGCAGCAGCCACGCAGTGTGAGGCTTTTGTATAGCCTGTGCGGAGAGGGGAGAACAGGGATAGACAGAGGCATAGTTGACAGGCTACAGAAAATGGCTACAATAATGCAAAGGAGATTGGAATGAAATGAACTAAACATCTGGGAAAGCGAGAGAGCGGGGCCTCCCTCACTTACGTTTCACTGAAACACCCAAATATAACTCTCCCAACTTCCACCTCAGAAACTATAATTGTTGTAAACTACAGCGGTTCAATGTTTTCTAGGAATAAACTAACTTAATTTATTCAGCTAGCTAACTTGGTAGAGTATTCTTCCGTGAAAACCGTCCAGGGCACCTAGTCATAAGACGCCACAGCCAACTAGCATGCCGGGCTCCAACAACACGGTTTAGCACCAGTACTCGGCCACAACAAACCACCAGTGTGTCAACACGCCAAGCAGATCATTCGTGTCCATGTCTAACGTTGTGGGTTAGTTCCGACAGCTTGAGCGAGTCCGTCGTCAACTTATTCAGCCAGTTAGTTAGCTAGAATAGTTAGCATACTAGCTAGCCATTGCTTTCTGCCAACGAAGAAACCCGTCCTCCCACGGCACGAACACACAGAGAGAGCTAAGCTAACGTTAACTAATCACCCATGTCCCGAATTCCCTTGAACGACTCTGGCTACCAGTATGTAAAAACAAAACACAAATGTAGGTTATAACTTACCCCTAGCAGCTACTGTTAGCTAGCCAAGTGCAAAGCTAGCCACTGAATCGATTCAGCCAGTTCACGTCCGTTCTCTAGGTCGTTCCAGCTATTGTTTAGTAGCTATCCAGGTAGCAACAAGCTAGCTACATTTTGAGCACAGTAGCTACTTACTACCTAACGTTAACGCTTCAGACAATGAGGTTAGAAAAACAGCTGAATGGTAGGCATTATTGTATGTAATTATTGTAGGCAGCCAGCTGGCGTAATTACAGGTACTCTCAAGTGTGAAACAACTATCCACAATTGCTAATAGTTACCAGTAGCTACCCGCTAGCTAGTCCAGGTAGTGGGTTAGCTAGCCTCGTGCTTCACCGGGCTCAGCCGAATACAATACCTAAAATAATTACATACAATAACCTACGATAACTACCTACAATACCTAACTACAATCTAAATACATGGTTTAAGCTTTACTCCACACCATATAAGCCATATAAGCCAAGCTTACCTCCCGCCAGAGAGAGACACAACCTCACCCGACGACGACGACGACACCCCCCTACATTTATGTTACCATTTCTGCCGAACTGCGTGCCAGTTATGAATATTTATGTATACATTTATATACCTTTTATTTCTATTTTTAATATATACATTTTATGCAGAATAATAATGTTTTAGTTTCTCAAAATCATTGTCATGTGGTTAATCATAAAAATCTGAAGTAAAATTATAAATATCTAAAAGTTAAAATTCAACTATGGCGAGAGCACTAGCCTCTGCCATATGGACACATTGATACATTGTCATACATTGGTGGCTAAAGAAATGAGAGCATAGAACTCAGAGATAGCCGATAGGCCACTGCAGCAGTAGGCTTATAACTTCCATCATCAACTAAGTAAAAGGCCTAAAGCGGACAAATAAAAACAGTAGAAAATATCCTGATGAAAATGCAGGTTCTTTCATCTCTCTTTTCTGCCTGTCTGCCTCTCTTTCTATCTGTCTTGACTTCAGCTATTGATAGTGAAGTTCAACATTGTATCAAATCATCACATTATATCAACTACCCTATTCCGGGCCCTCAAAGTTTCCTGCGCCAGTGAGCTCAGGACAGAAAGCTGTTTTTTATGACGTTTCCAACGGATATATGGGATCATCAGATCATGATATTTTGCTCTTTCACACCGAGGCTTGGTGATTATCGAGGCCGGGAGTGTTGGAAAGATTTTTCAAATACTGAAGAACTAGCAATCGGAAAGGATGTAAAAAAAAAAAACAGACTTTGTTGACTTGTGTGAGGCGAAGAAATGTGTGGTGTACAGTGCATTCGGAAAGTATTTAGACCCCTTGAGTTTTTCCACATTTTGTTACGTTACAGCCTTATTCTAAAATGGATTAAATTGTTTGTTTTCTTCATCAATCTACACACAATACCCCGTAATGACAAAGAAAAAAACTGGTTTTTAGATATTTTAGTTTCTCCCATCTTCTCTGCAGATCCTCTCAAGCTCTGTCAGGTTGGATGGGGAGCATCGCTGCACAGCTATTTTCAGGTCTCTCCAGAGATGTTCGATTGGGTTCAAGTCCGGGGCTCTGGCTGGGCCACTTAAGGACATTCAGAGACTTGTCCTGAAGCCACTCCTGCGTTGTCTTGGCTGTGTGCTTAGGGTCGTTGTCCTGTTGGAAGGTGAACCTGTTGGAAGGTGAACCCGATCGAACATCTCTGGAGAGACCTGAAAATTGCAGCACCCCTACATCTTGCGGCTATGAGAAAGTGCAGTTGTCTTTACATGTAGGTCTGATATCTGATTGGAGGTTAACTTTACAGTAATACCATTGGTCAACAACTTAGATGTTGAATCCAAACAACTCAGATGTTATAAAATGGTCTCAGAATCATTGTCCTTTCTCTTTGTTCCTGACCATCTGTGGTGAGATGCACTCGCTCTCTCGCTCTCTCTCTCTCTCTCTCTCTCTCTCTCTCTCTCTCTCTCTCTCTCTCTCTCTCTCTCTATCTCTCTCTCTCTCTCTCTCTCTCTCTCTCTCTCTCTCTCTCTCTCTCTCTCTCTCTCTTTCTCTCTCTCTCTCTTTCTCAATTCAATTCAATTTAAGGGCTTCATTGGCATGGGAAACATATGTTAACATTGCCAAAGCAAGTGAAGTAGATAGTAAACAAAAGTGAAATAAACAATAAAAATTAACAGTAAACATTACACTCAGAAGTTCCAAAAGAATAAAGAAATTTCAAATGTCATATTATGTATATATACAGTGTTGTAACAATGTGCAAATAGTTAAAGTCCAAATGGGAAAATAAATAAACATAAATATGGGTTGTATTTACAATGGTGTTTGTTCTTCACTGGTTGCCCTTTTCTTGTGGCAATAGGTCACACATCTTGCTGCTATGATTGCTCACTATGGTATTTCACCCAGTAGATATGGGAGTTTATCAGAATTGTGTTTGTTTTCAAATTCTTTGCGGATCTGTGTAATCTGAGGGAAATATGTGTCTCTAATATGGTCATACATTTGGCAGGAGGTTAGGAAGTGCAGCTCAGTTTCCACCTCATTTTGTGTGCAGTGTGCACATAGCATGTCTTCTCTTGAGAGCCAGGTCTGCCTACGGCGGCCTTTCTCAATAGCAAGGCTATGCTCACTGAGTCTGTACATAGTCAAAGCTTTCCTTAAGTTTGGGTCAGTCACAGTGGTCAGGTATTCTGCCACTGTGTACTCTCTGTTTAGGGCCAAATAGCATTCCAGTTTGCGCTGTTATTTTGTTAATTCTTTCTAATGTGTCAAGTAATTCTATTTTTGTTTTCTCATGATTTGGTTGGGTCTAAATGTGTTGTTGTTCTCTCTCTCTCTCTCTCTCTCTCTCTCTCTTTGCCTAGAATAGTGCTTGTTAATGATTTGTAACTTAAGCTTATGTAAATCAATTCATTTTACAATGTTAATTAAATATTTGCTTTTGATTTAGACAATTCTTAGTCCTTTCTTGCTAGCCTATTACTGTAACTCAACTATGGTCCTGCTGGCATATTGCAACATCATATTTATGGAGTCAGATAAACATTTTAGTAGACTTTGTAGGCATACAAATAATCTTATCATGGGTCACGTGAGGTATATTTAATATTACCTATATGCAGATATGATCAATATTACCCAGCATCAGGAGCAGACAGTATAAGCCTACTCCTTTCTCTCTGTCTATCTCCAGGAATGGCCGGTTGTAAAAACGACAGTTCCCAAGTGAAAGCTGCCCTGCAGCCAGACTTCCCCATGCAGGACAAGAACAGTGTTCAGGGGGTTAAACGCCACCCAAACAGCGATGTCCCTGTTGGAATCCTGGTCGACGTTAACCAAACTCTGGTCACCAAATCACTGCATGGAGACAGTGAAAGAGAAAGGAAGAAAGAGGCAGATGGAGGGAAGGATGGAGGAAGGAAAAGAGACATGGAGGGGGTGAGGGATGAAGTGAGGGGTGAGGAGAAGAGGTCGTGCTGCTCTCTCTCTGAGCTGAAGAAAGTCCCTAAGTGTCACGTGGAGCTGGAGCCACTGTCCTTCAGCAGAACTCACCACGTCCTCATAGATGTAAGAGAGATAATTAAACCAGTGCAGATCAATAAAAAAGCTTGCATCTAAAGCGACTGAGAGTGAACTGGAACGTTTACACAAAATAAATGGTGTCTCTCACAGATCATTCATGTCTCTCTTCCTCCCTATTCAGGTGAATGAGTTCCGCCATAAAATTAAGTTGAAAGCTCAGCCTGGACAGCATGTGTGGAACAGGGACTTTGTTAAGATGCCCTGCTCACCAGAAAGCCTCATCAAGACTGGATGGGTGGGTTCATTGATTGATTGATTTACTGATTGATTGATTTGTCGATTGATTGGTTCCTTGAACGGTTGGTTGATTGGTTAATTTATTGATTTGTTTGTTGGCTAATTGATTGATTTGTTAGTTGGTTGGTAAGTTGATTGAGTGATTGGTAAGTTGATTGATTGATTGGTTGGTTGGTTCATTGGTTGATTTGTCAGTTGGTTGATTGATTGATTGATTGGTTGTTCCTAGTTAACCACCTCTGAGGGAAGTCGTTGGGAGGTGGTCTCGAAACAGCTGGATAGTCTGGCCAAGAAGACCACTGCATCAGTGGGTGACGTAGAGGTACGACACAAACACACACACACAAACACACACACACACACACACACACACACACACACACACACACACACACACACACACACACACACACACACACTCATGCCCCTATTATCCTAACATTTCCTAACATGCCTCCTCATGTTAACTTGGGTTTGGGATAACAGTTAAGGTAGGGGTTAGCATGTTTGACCAGTACTGTGTAACTATGATCTTCATGTTTCTCTCCACTTAGAAAGCCATAAAGAAATATAACCCAAAGTATGAAGATCAATGGTCCTTTGATGCCCTGCACACCTTTGTTCAGGTCAGTTATCAGTTCAATGTGAATGGTCAACTCTCTCTAATGGTGGTGTTATATAGACTGAACTAAAATATAAAAGCAACATGTAAAGTGTTGGTCCCATGTTTCATGAGCTGAAATAAAAGATCCCATACATTTTCTATACGCACAAAAAGCTTATTTCCCTCAAACTTTGTGCACAAATTTGTTTATATCCCTGTTAGTGAGCATTTCTCATTTGCCAAGATAGTCCATCTACCTGACAGTTGTGACATATCAAGAAGCTGATTAAACAGCATGATCATTACACAGGTGCACCTTGTGCTGGGGACAATAAAAGGCCACTCTAAAATAGCATATATAGCATCCATAGTCCCTCAGCATCCATAGTATCAATAGTTTGTATAGTTATACATGCTATAGTCTCTATAGACTCTATAGTCTTGCTGCATACATATAGAATAACACCCCGTGCTATTAATTGACTTAAGACTAGTTGTACTAGTTGTTTCGTTTTATTGTTCAGTTGCCGTTTCCTTCAATTGTTTGCGGATGATGTGTCTCTTCCTGGGCAGCTCTCAGTAAGGGTCTGGTCTGGGCGGGTCCTCGTCATCTTTTGGTGAGACGGGAATTTCCCTCACGCTTCATAAAATGCGCCACTGGTTTTCCTCGCATACTCTCACTGGAAAGCTCTGCAGGTAGAATCAATCATTGGGATCGTGACGACAAATTGTCATGGAAATTCAACACCAGGGACACCTGAATTAAATATTAAATGAATAATTATTTATTATCAGCAAGCTGGAGAGGTTCCAACAAACTCGATGCACCGTAGTACACGTTGGTCGGGAGCGCCACTGTGGCAGTCCCGTTAGTTCTCTTATATACTGCTTACACAGACAAGTTATATTTGCTTATTCATAATTCATTCATCATTAACGTTTGGTCCATGCATGTGACCGACCAATACCTCATGAGGCTTCTTCTCTCCAAGCTGAGACCTTGAAACTATGACACCCCTTTCGGTACTCAAAACAATGTTCTGGGTGTACTGCTGAATTGCTTATACTGATAGTGAGGATTCCTCCCAGGCACGATCAATCTGTCACTTGCATGAACCTAGTCAAATTGGTTATTAGAAAAGCACAAACATAACATTTTCCTTCACAGTCGTTTTAGAGAATTTGGCAGTACGTCCAACAGCCTCACAACCGCAGACCACATGTAACCACGCCAGCCCAGGACCTCCACATCCGGAATCTCTGCACAAACTGTCAGAAACGTCTCAGGGAAGCTCATCTGCATGCTCGTCGTCCTCACCAGGGTCTTGACCTGACTGCAGTTCGGCGTCATAAACGACTTCAGTGGGCAAATATTCACCTTGGATGACCACTGGCACGCTGGAGAAATGTGCTCTTCACGGATGAATCCCGGTTTCAACTGTACCTGGCAGATGGCAGTATAGCGCCGTGTGGGCGAGCGCTTGCTGATGTCAACGTTATGAACAGAGTGCCCCATGGTGGCGGTGGGGTTATGGTATGGGCAGACATAAGCTACGGACAACCAACACAATTGCATTTTATCAATGGCAATTTCAATGCACAGAGATACCGTGACAAGATCCTGAGGACCATTGTCGTGCCATTCACCCACTGCCATCACCTCATGTTTCAGTATGATAATGCACGGCCCTATGTCGCAAGGATCTGTAAACAATTCCTGGAAGCTGAAAAATACTCACCAGACATGTCACCCATTGAGCATGTTTGGGAAGCTCAGGATCGACGTGTACGACAGCGTGTTCCAGTTCCTGCCAATATCCAGCAACTTTGCACAGCCATTGAAGAGGAGTGGGACAACATTCCACAGGCCACAATCAACAGCCTGATCAACTCTATGCAAAGGAGATGTGTTGCGCTGCATGAGGCAAATGGTGGTCACACCAGATACTGACTGGTTTTCTGATTCACTCCCCTACATTTTTGGGGGGTATTTGTGACCAACAGATGCATATCTGTATTCCCAATCATGTGAAATCCATAGATTAGGACCTAATTAATTTATTTCAATTGACTGATTTCCTTATACTGTATGAACTGTAACTCAGTCCAATCTTAGAAATGGTTGCATGTTGCGTTTATGTTTTTGTGCAGTGTATAATTAAGCAATAAGGCCCGAGGGGGTGTGGTATATGGCCAATACGCCACGGCTAAGGGATGTTCTCAAGCACGACACAACGCAGAGTGCCTGGATACAGCCCTTAGCCGTGGTATATTGGCAATATACCACAAACCTCCGAGGTGCCTTATTGCTATTATGAACTGGTTTCCAACGTAATTAGAACAGTAAAAATAAATGCTTTGTCATACATGTGGTGTACGGTCTGATATACCATGACTTTCAGCCAATCAGCAGTCAGGGCTCTAACCACCCAGTTTATAATGATATATATTCTCCTCTCCCTCTCTCCTCTAGTTTATAATGATATATATTCTCCTCTCCCTCTCTCCTCTAGTTTATAATGATATATATTCTCCTCTCCCTCTCTCCTCTAGTTTATAATGATATATATTCTCCTCTCCCTCTCTCCTCTAGTTTATAATGATATATATTCTCCTCTCCCTCTCCCTCTAGTTTATAATGATATATATTCTCCTCTCCCTCTCTCCTCTAGTTTATAATGATATATATTCTCCTCTCCCTCTCTCCTCTAGTTTTATAATGATATATATTCTCCTCTCCCTCTCTCCTCTAGTTTATAATGATATATATCTCCTCTCCCTCTCTCCTCTAGTTTATAAATGATATATATTCTCCTCTCCCTCTCTCCTCTAGTTTATAATGATATATATTCTCCTCTCCCTCTCTCCTCTAGTTTATAATGATATATATTCTCCTCTCCCTCTCTCCTCTATTTATAATGATATATATTCTCCTCTCCCTCTCCCTCTAGTTTATAATGATATATATGCTCCTCTCCCTCTCTCCTCTAGTTTATATATAGATATATATTCTCCTCTCCCTCTCTCCTCTAGTTAAGTTTATAATGATATATATTCTCCTCTCCCTCTCTCCTCTAGTTTATAATGATATATATTCTCCTCTCCCTCTCTCCTCTAGTTTATAATGATATATATTCTCCTCTCCCTCTCCTCTAGTTTATAATGATATATATCTCCTCTCCCTCTCTCCTCTAGTTTATAATGATATATATTCTCCTCTCCCTCTCTCCTCTAGTTTATAATGATATATATTCTCCTCTCCCTCTCTCCTCTAGTTTATAATGATATATATTCTCCTCTCCCTCTCTCCTCTAGTTTATAATGATATATATTCTCCTCTCCCTCTCTCCTCTAGTTTATAATGATATATATTCTCCTCTCCCTCTCTCCTCTAGTTTATAATGATATATATTCTCCTCTCCCTCTCTCCTCTAGTTTATAATGATATATATTCTCCTCTCCCTCTCCCTCTAGTTTATAATGATATATATTCTCCTCTCCCTCTCTCCTCTAGTTTATAATGATATATATTCTCCTCTCCCGACTCCCTCTCCCTCTAGTTTTATAATGTATATTTCTCAATCTCCCTCTCCTACTCCCTCGAGTTTGATAATTGATATATATTCTCCCTCTCCTCTCTCACTCTAGTTTATAATGATATATATATCATCCTCTCCCTCTCCCCCCACCTATAAGTTTATAATGATGATATATTATCCTATCCCCTACTCTCCTCTAGTTTATAATGATATATATTCCTAAAGCTCTCCCTCTGCTACACTCTAGTTTTGATAATGATATATATTTCTCCTCTCCCTCTATCCCTCTAGTTTATAATGGATATATATTCTCCTCTCCCTCTATCCTCTAGTTTATAATGATATATATTTCTCCTCTCCCTCTCTCCTCTAGTTTATAATGATATATATTCTCCTCTCCCTCTATCCTCTAGTTTATAATGATATATATTCTCCTCTCCCTCTCTCCTCTAGTTTATAATGATATATATTCTCCTCTCCCTCTCTCCTCTAGTTTATAATGATATATATTCTCCTCTCCCTCTCTCCTCTAGTTTATAATGATATATATTCTCCTCTCCCTCTCTCCTCTAGTTTATAATGATATATATTCTCCTCTCCTCTCCCCCTCTAGTTTATAATGATATATATCTCCTCTCCCTCTCTCCTCTAGTTTATAATGATATATATTCTCCTCTCCCTCTCCCTCTAGTTTATAATGATATATATTCTCCTCTCCCTCTCTCCTCTAGTTTATAATGATATATATCTCCTCTCCCTCTCTCCTCTAGTTTATAATGATATATATTCTCCTCTCCCGCTCTCCTCTAGTTATAATGAATATATCTCCTCTCCCTCTCTCCTCTAGTTTATAATGATATATATTCTCCTCTCCTCTCTCCTCTAGTTTATAATGATATATATTCTCCTCTCCCTCCTCCCCCTCTAGTTTATAATGATATATATCTCCCTCTCCCCTCTCTCCTCTAGTTTATAATGATATATATTCTCCTCTCCCTCTCACCTCTAGTTTATAATGATATATATTATCCTCTCCCTCTCTCCTCTAGTTTATAATGATATATATTCTCCATCTCCCTCTCTCCTCTAGTTTATAATGATATATATTCTCCTCTCCCTCTCCCCTATAGTTTATAATGATATATATTCTCCTCTCCCTCTCTCCTCTAGTTTATAATGATATATATTCTCCTCTCCCTCTCTCCTCTAGTTTATAATGATATATATTCTCCTCTCCCTCTCTCCTCTAGTTTATAATGATATATATTCTCCTCTCCCTCTCTCCTCTAGTTTATAATGATATATATTCTCCTCCTCTCCCCTCTAGTTTATAATGATATATATTCTCCTCTCCCTCTCACCTCTAGTTTATAATGATATATATTCTCCTCTCCCTCTCTCCTCTAGTTTATAATGATATATATTCTCCTCTCCCTCTCTCCTCTAGTTTATAATGATATATATTCTCCTCTCCCTCTCTCCTCTAGTTTATAATGACTATATATTCTCCTCTCCCTCTCTCCTCTAGTTTATAATGATATATATTCTCCTCTCCCTCTCTCCTCTAGTTTATAATGATATATATTCTCCTCTCCCACTCTCCTCTAGTTTATAATGATATATATTCTCCTCTCCCTCTCTCCTCTAGTTTATAATGATATATATTCTCCTCTCCCTCTCTCCTCTAGTTTATAATGATATATATTCTCCTCTCCCTCTCTCCTCTAGTTTATAATGATATATATTCTCCTCTCCCTCTCTCCTTTAGTTTATAATGATATATATTCTCCTCTCCCACTCTCCTCTAGTTTATAATGATATATATTCTCCTCTCCCTCTCTCCTCTAGTTTATAATGATATATATTCTCCTCTCCCTCTCTCCTCTAGTTTATAATGATATATATTCTCCTCTCCCTCTCTCCTCTAGTTTATAATTATATATATTCTCCTCTCCCACGCTCCTCTAGTTTATAATGATATATATTCTCCTCTCCCTCTCTTCTCTAGTTTATAATGATATATATTCTCCTCTCCCTCTCTCCTCTAGAAAGCACCTAAAGAAGAGAACTACTACACGTCTGTTTTTCCTAAGATAGCAGAGCTGGCCTCCAGACTGCCTCAGCATATCAAGAAGGTAACAACATAGGAACTGAATGATGTACACTATGTAGGCTACAGAAATAGTGCACTATAGTACAGAGGAAGTGTACTATGTAGGGTACAGAGGTAGTGCACTAGAGTACAGAGGAAGTGCACCATTTATTTATTTTATTTAACCATTTCACTAGTCATTTAAGAACAAATTCTTATTTACAATGATGGCCTACCAAAAGGCAAAAGGCCTCCTGCGGGGACGGCGGCTGGGATTCAAAATGAAAATATAGGACAAAACACACATCACGACAAGAGAGACACCACAACACTACATAAAGAGAGACCTAAGACAACAACATAGCATGTCAGCAACACATGACACAGCATGGTAGCAACACAACATAACAACAGCATGGTAGCAACACAACATGACAACAACATGGTAGTAACACAACACGGCAGCAGCACAACATGGTAACAGCACAAAACATGGTACAAACATTATTGTTCACAGACAACAGCACAAAGGGCAAGAAGGTAGAGACAACAATACATCACGCGAAACAGCCACAACTGTCAGTAAGAGTGTCCATGATTGAGTCTTTCAATGTAGAGATAGAGATAAAACTGTCCAGTTTGAGTGTTTTTTGCAGCTTGTTCCAGTCGTTGGCTGCAGCGAACTGAAAAGAGGAGCGACCCAGGGATGTGTGTGCTTTGGGGACCTTAAACAGAATGTGACTGGCAGAACGGGTTTTGTATGTGGAGGATGAGGGCAGCAGTAGGTATCTCAGATAGTGAGGCCTAAGAGGGTTTTATAAATAAGCATCAACCAGTGGGTCTTTCGACGGGTATACAGAGATGACCAGTTTACAGAGGAGTATATAGTGCAGTGATGTGTCCTGTAAGGAACATTGGTAGCAAATCTGATGGCTGAATGGTAAAGAACATCTAGCCACTCGAGAGCACCCTTACCTGCCGATCTATAAATTACGTCTCCGTAATCTAGCATGGGGTAGGATGGTCATCTGAATCAGGGTTAGTGTGGCAGCTGGGGTGAAAGAGGAGCGATTACGATAGAGGAAACCAAGTCTAGATTTAACCTTAGCCTGCAGCTTTGATATGTGCTGAGAGAAGGACAGTGTAATGTCTAGCCATACTCCCAAGTACTTGTATGAGGTGACTACCTCAAGCTCTAAACCCTCAGAGGTAGTAATCACACCGGTGGGGAGAAGTGCATTCTTCTTACCAAACCACATTACCTTTGTTTTGGAGGTGTTCAGAACAAGGTTAAGGGCTGAGAAAGCTTGTTGGACATTAAGAAAGCTTTGTTGTAGAGCATTTAACCCAAAATCTGGGGAGGGGCCAGCTGATTATAAGACTGTATCATCTGCATATAAATGGATGAGAGAGCGTCCTACTGCCTGAGCTATGTTGTTGATGTGAATTGAGAATAGCGTGGGGCCTAGGATTGAGCCTTGGGGTACTCCGTTGGTGACAGGCAGTGGCTGAGACAGCAGATGTTCTGACTTTATACACTGCACTTTTTGAGAGAGGCAGTTAGCAATCCAGGCCAAAGACCCCTCAGAGACACCAATACTCCTTAGCTGGCCCACAAGAATGGAATGGTCTACCGTATCAAAAGCTTTGGCCATGTCAATAAAAATAGCAGCACAACATTGCTTGGAATCAAGGGCAATGGTGACATCATTTATTACCATTAAGGTTGCAGTGACACATCCATAACCTGAGTGGAAACCAGATTGCATACCAGAGAGAATACTATAGACATCAAGAAAGCCAGTCAGTTGATTATTGACACGTTTTTCCAACATTTTGATAAACAGGGCAAAATAGAAATTGGCCTATAACAGTTAGGATCAGCTTGATCTCCCCCTTTAAATAAAGGACGCACAGTGGCTGCCCTCCAAGCAATGGGAACCTCCCCAGAGAGGAGAGACAGGTTAAAAAGGTCAGAGATATGATAGGGGCTGAAACCTTAAAGAAGAAAGGATCTAAACCATCTGATCCAGATGTTTTTTTGGGGTCAAGTTTAAGGAGCTCCTTTAGCACCTAAGACTCAGTGACCACCTGCAGAGAGAAACGTTGTAGCAGGGCAGGGGAAAAAGAGGGAGGAGCATCGGAAGGAGTGGGAGATGAGGAAATGTTGGACCGGCAAGGAGGCATGGCTGAGCATATAGGAATCCTGACTTAATGAAGTGGTGATTAAAGAGCTCAGCCATGTGCTCCTTGTCAGTAACAACCACATCATCAACATTAAAGGACATTCTTGAGGTGGAGTAACTCTGCCAGATCACAGTCGAACCAGGGGCTGAACCTGTTTTTAATTCTCTTTATGGGGGCGTGTTTGTTAAAAATACCACTGAAAATATCAAAAAAGAAGGTCCAAGTGTCTTCGACAGAGGGGATCAAGCTGATTCTATACCAATTTACAGAGGCCAGGTCATGAAGGAAGGCTTGCTCATTAACGTTTTTTAGCAAGTGTCTATGACAAATCAGGACAGATCGTTTCACTGAGCAGCCATTACGAACACAGGCTATAAAACAGTGATCACTAAGGTCATTACAGAAAACACCAGACTGATACCTATCAGGATTATTTGTGAGGATAACATCAAGGAGAGTAGCCTTTTCTGGGTGTTTGGAGTCATACCTTGTGGGATTGGTAATAAACTGAGAAAGAGAGTTATATTTGAGTGTTTCAGTGAAACGTGAGGGAGGCCCCGCTCTCTCGCTTTCCCAGATGCTTAGTTAATTTCATTCCGATCTCCTTTGCATTATTGTAGCCTTTTCTGTACTCTGTCAACTATGTGTCTGTCTATCCCTGTTCTCTCCTCTCCGCACAGGCCATACAAACGCTTCACACGGCGTGGCTGCTGCCACTCTAATCTGGTGGTCCCTGCGCGCACGACCCACGTGGAGTTCCAGGTCTCCGGCAGCCTCTGGAACTGCCGTTCTGCGGCCAACAAGGCAGAGTTAATCTCAGCCTATGCTACCCTCCAGTCCCTCGACTTCTTGGCGCTGACGGAAACATTACCACAGAAAACACTGCTACTCCTACTGCTCTTTCCTCGTCTGATCATGTGTTCTCGCATACCCCGAGAGCATCTGGTCAGCGCGGCGGTGGCACAGGAATCCTCATCTCTCCCAAGTGGACATTCTCTCTTTTCCCCCTGACCCATCTGTCTAGCTCCTCATTTGAATTCCATGCTGTCACAGTCACTAGCACATTCAAGCTTAACATCCTTGTCATTTATCGCCCTCCAGGTTCCCTTGGAGAGTTCATCAATGAGCTTGACGCCTTGATAAGTTCCTTTCCTGAGGATGGCTCACCCCTCACAGTTCTGGGTGACTTTAACCTCCCTACGTCTGCCTTTGACTCATTTCTCTCTGCCTCCTTCTTTCCACTCCTTTCCTCTTTTGACCTCACCCTCACACCGTCCCCCCTACTCACAAGGCAGGCAATACGCTTGACCTCATCTTTACTAGATGCTGTTCTTCTACTAATCTCACTGCAACTCCCCTCCAAGTCTCCGACCACTACTTCGTATCCTTTTCTCTGTCGCTCTCCTCCAACACTACTCACTCTGCCCCTACTCAGATGGTAATGTGCCGTCGCAACCTTCGATCTCTCTCTCCCGCTACTCTCTCCTCTTCCATCCTATCATCTCTTCCCTCTGCTAAATCCTTCTCCCTCCAATCTCCTGATTCTGCCTCCTCAACCCTCCTCTCCTCCCTCTCTGAATCTTTTGACTCTCTATGTCCCCTATCCTCCCAGCCGGCTCGGTCCTACCCTCCTGCTCCGTGGCTTGACGATTCATTGCGGAAATGGAGGAAAACTAGACTCACCGCGGACCTGTAATCTTTCCACTCCCTCCTCTCTACATTCTCTTCCTCCGTTTCTGCTGCTAAAGCCACTTTCTACCACTCTAAATTTCAAGCCTCTGCCTCTAACCCTAGGAAGCTCTTTGCCACCTTCTCCTCCCTGCTGAATCATCCTCCTCCTCCCCCTCCCTCTTCCCTCTCTGTGGATTACTTTGTCAACCATTTTGAAAAGAAGGTTGATGACATCCGATCCTCATTTATTAAGTCAAATGACACCGCTGGTCCTGCTCACACTGCCCTACCCTATGCTTTGACTTCTTTCTCCCCTCTCTCTCCAGATGAAATCTTGTGACTTATGACGGCCGGCCGCCCAACAACCTGCCCGCTTGACCCTATCCCCTCCTCTCTTCTCCAGACCATTTCCGGAGACCTTCTTCCATCTTCAAAAAAGCGAGAGTTGCACCCCTCCTCAAAAAACCTACACTCGATCCCTCCAATGTCAACAACTACAGACCAGTATCCCTTCTTTCTTTTCTCTCCAAAACTCTTGAGCATGCCGTCTTTAGCCAACTCTCCTGCTATCTCTCTCAGAATGACCTTCTTGATCCAAACCAGTCAGGTTTCAAGACTGGTCATTCAACTGAGACTGCTCTTCTCTGTGTCACGGAGGCTCTCCTCACTGCTAAAGCTAACTCTCTCTCTCCTCTGCTCTCATCCTTCTAGACCTATCTGCTGCCTGTGAACCATCAGATCCTCCTCTCCACCCTCTCCGAGTTGGGCATCTCCGGCGCTGCTCACTCTTCGATTGCGTCCTACCTGACAGGTCGCTCCTACCAGGTGGCGTGGCGAGAATCTGTCTCCGCACCACGTGCTCTCACCACTGGTGTCCCTCAGGGCTCAGTTCTAGGCCCTCTCCTATTCTCTCTATAAACCAAGTCACTTGGCTCTGTCATATCCTCACATGGTCTCTCCTATCATTGCTACGCAGACGACACACAATTCATTTTCTCCTTTCCCCCTTCTGATAACCAGGTGGCGAATCGCATCTCTGCATGTCTGGCAGACATATCAGTGTGGATGTCGGATCACCACCTCAAGCTGAACCTCGACAAGATGGAGCTGCTCTTCCTCCCGGGGAAGGACTGCCCGCTCCATGATCTTGCCATCACGGTTGACAACTCCGTTGTGTCCTCCTCCCAGAGTGCAAAGAACATTGGCGCGACCCTGGACAACACCCTGTCGTTCTCCGCTAACATCAAAGTGGTGACCCGATCCTGTAGGTTCATGCTCTACAACATTCGCAGAGTACGACCCTACCTTACACAGGAAGCGGCACAGGTCCTAATCCAGGCACTTGTCATCTCCCGTCTGATTACTGCAACTCGCTGTTGGCTGGGTTCCCTGCCTGTGCCATTAAACCCCTACAACTCATCCAGAACGCTGCAGCCCGTCTGGTGTTCAACCTTCCCAAGTTCTCTCACGTCACCCCGCTCCTCCGCACACTCCACTGGCTTCCAGTTGAAGCTCGCATCTGCTACAAGACCATGGTGCTTGCCTACGGAGCTGTGAGGGGAACGGCACCTCCTTACCTTCAGGCTCTGATCAGTCCCTACACCTAAACGAGGGCATTGCGTTCTTCCACCTCTGGCCTGCTGGTCCCCTTACCTCTGCGGAAGCACAGTTCCCGCTCAGCCCAGTCAAAACTGTTCGCTGCTCTGGCACCCCAATGGTGGAACAAGCTCCCTCACGACGCCAGGACAGCGGAGTCACTGACCACCTTCCGGAGACACTTGAAACCCTACCTCTTTAAGGAATACCTGGGATAGTATAAAAGTAATCCTTCTACCCCCCCCCGCCCCCCCACCCACCACACCCCCACAAAAATAAAATACAAAAATTACAAATAAAAAATTTAAATAATAATATATATTTATAAAACAATTGAAAATTAAAAATATACTCTAAAAATAAAATACAAAATATCTTAAAAAATTGTAAAGTGGTTGTCCCACTGGCTATCATAAGGTGAATGCACGAATTTGTAAGTCGCTCTGGATAAGAGTGTCTGCTAAATGACATAAATGTAATGTAAATGTAAAGATTTAGGGAGTCCCATTGCTTTAGGACTTGGTCAGGTGGTTTAAGCATGTCCCAGTTTAGGTCACCTAGCAGGACAAATTCAGACTTAGTGTAAGGGTCCAGGAGAGAGCTTAGGACAGGTAGGGTACAGGACATTGCTGATGGTGTATGATAACACCCAGAAACAGTCAACAAAGAGTTATTTGAAAGTTTAATGCTTAATTCCAGCAAATCAAATTGTTTGGGGACAGACTTGGTGGAGATAACCGAGCACTGAAGGTGTTCCTTGGTAAATATTGCCACTCCACCGCCTTTGGAAGAAAAAGGTTATAACCAGAAAGGTTAACATCAGTGTTCAAAACACTCTTTCTTAACCACGTCTCAGTAATGACCAACACATCTGGATTGGAGCTGTGAACCCACACTCTCAATTGATACATTTTAGGTAATAAGCTTCTAGTGTTAACGTGCAGAAAACCCAGGATTTGACGAAAGCATAAATCAGTGAAGCAGATATCAGTCAGAATTGGGGCTAGCAACAGTAGATGGGCCAGGGTGTACATGCACATTTCCAGATATCATCAGCAGTAATACAATCAGGGAATGGCAGAGGACAGGGAGAGCTCTGCAGTGTTTTTTGTTGTTGTTTTTTTTACATTTGAATGTGCATCAGATGGCAACAAGATCATATTGTACAGCAATTTCATCAGGTAACATGAATACAAAGCCGGCGAGAGGTGGTTAGAATAGGATGGGAGGCCAAGACTCTGTGTAACCAATAGAGAGTCAGAGTCTTGAGCGTGGGAACAAACATAGTCTGGCCCACGGTCGGGTAAACAAGCAAGTTCATAGTCAACAAAGCACACAGGAGTCATGAGGCAAATAGCATAAAGCACAAGAAAAAAATATAACGACTTGGGGCTAGCCATTGTAAGTTCAAAGAGTCACTCGCCCCAGTAGGCTATAAAAGTATGAGATAAAATAAATAAATAATAGGCCTATACTAGTTAATTAAAGCGTTTCTGAGTAAGCTCATATAATAAGCTTGAAAAGTTAATTAGCCAACCTAAAATTCCGATCAGTCCAAAGTCTGCGATGTGAAGGGTTCAGAGGTAGTGTACTATGAAGGGTACAGTTTGTAGAGGTACTGTATGTGTGTTCTCTACTCAGTCTGTTAAATGTTTGAATGTGTGTGTTTGTCTGTCTGTCTGTGTGTGTGTCTAACTGTGTGTAGGCCATTCCCCTGCTCCAGAGAGGCCAGACTCATTCCATCACGTTGTCCCAGAGTCAGATAGCTTGTCTGCTGGCCAATGCCTTCTACTGCACCTTCCCCCACCGCAACTCCCCCAACCCCAGAGCAGAGTACAACAACTACCCCACCATCAACTTTAACAGGTCAGAATACACACAACAAACTCCACTGAGGACCCACACACATAGAGACAAACACTAAGTATTCCAACTTCAACAGATGATAACATGTGACCACTGTATCTCTCTGTGTTGTCAGTCTGTTTGGAAAGTGGTCTGAGAGGAAGAGAGAGAAGCTGAGAGCCATCCTTCATTACTTCCACACTGTCACAGACCAAGGTAAGTTACTACCACACACTACTATAGTCACTATAATGACTGGAATACAAGTACTGTAGTGTACTTTAGGGTACTATGTAGGTTACAGGAACCTATTTAAGACATAGTCTGATGAGTGTAGATGAGGAATACTCTCTGATAATAGTTGCTGTGGGAACCAGGTTTACCTGAGCTTTGACCCTTGTTGTTGTCATGACAGCGACCATGCCCAGTGGACTGGTGACCTTTGAGAGGCGCTACATCAGCGACAGAGACATACCCAACTGGAGGAGGTACATACACACACACACACACACACACACACACACACACACACACACACACACACACACACACACACACACACACACACACACAGAGACCAACTTAATATGTCCCCTCTTGTCTTTCTCTGTGTCAGTTGTAAGGAGACTGTTGCTAAACTCCACGTCACCTCAGCAGGCTGCATAGAGGAACAGGGAACAGGGATGCTACAGGTTGGTGACAGCTCCAGGCTTGTGTGTGTGTGTTTGTGTGTGTGAATGTAAATGTGTGTGTTGCAGGTGTATTTTTTATGGCTCTGGTGTGTGTGTGTGTGTGTAACACTGTATGTGTGTGTGTTGCAGGTGTAAATATATGGCTCTGGCGTGTGTGTGTAACGCTGTGTGTAACACTGTGCTTGTGTGTTGCAGGTGTAAATATATGGCTCTGGTGTGTGTGTGTGTGTGTAACGCTCTGTGTAACAATGTGCTTGTGTGTTGCAGGTGTAAATATATGGCTCTGGTGTGTGTGTGAGTGTGTAACGCTAAATGTGTGTGTGTTGCAGGTGGACTTTGCCTGTAACATGATAGGAGGTGGAGTGTTGGGCTCAGGTCTGGTTCAAGAGGAGATTCTGTTCCTGATGAACCCAGAACTCATCGTATCTCGACTCTTCACTGAGAGACTAGGAGACAACGAGTGTCTCTTCATCACAGGTGTGTGTGTGTGTGTGTGTGTGTGTGTGTGTGGTGTGTGTGTGTGTGTGTGTGATCACAGGTTATACCTACCACCCTTTATATCTCTCTCTCTGTCACGTCTTATCTCTCTCTCTCTCTCTCTCTCTCTCTCTCCTCTCTCTCTCTCTCTCTCTCTCTCTCTCTCTCCTCTTCTCTCTCTCTCTCTCTCTCCTCTCTCTCTCTCTCTCTCTCTCTCTCTCTCTCTCTCTGTAGGTTCTCAACAGTTCAGTCAGTACAGTGGCTACAGCGACACTTTTCAGTGGAAAGGGCCTCACAGAGACAACATTGAGAGGTGAGCACACACACACACAGTCTTGTGCAGCTAACCTTGTGGGGACATGCAGTTCAGTCCCATTCAAAATCCTATTTTCCCTAACCCGTACCCTAACCCTAACCTTAACCCAAAAACCTAACTCAACCTAACCCTAGCTCCTAACCCTAAAACTAACCCTAGCTCCTAACCCTAAACCTAATTCTAACCCTAACACTAATTCTAACATTAACCCTAAACCCCCTAGAAACAGCATTTTACCTTGTGGGGACCAACAAAATGTCCCCAGTTGGTCAAATGTTTGTTTGTTTACTATTCTTGTGGGGACTTCTGGTCCCCACAAGTATACACACACACTCACACTCACTAAAATCCCTGATTGCGCTGCCTGTGTTTGCAGGGATGAATGGCAGAGGCTACACAGGCAGATTGTAGCCATGGATGCTCTCCACTTCAGACACCAGAGAGAACAGTACAACATGAGACATGTCACCAGGGAACTCAACAAGGTGAGAGACAACCCTCCTCTCCTGTAGGGGACAGACTGCAGCTGATTAGTAGAATCAGGTGTGCTAGCTAGAGCAGGGCTGGAGATAAATCTGATGTCGGTGGTCTCCTGTGATATCCTCCCTCAGGCGTACTGTGGCTTTAAGGCAGGTGACAACACTCACCCAGACCTCCTTCCTGACATCGCCACTGGCAACTGGGGCTGCGGAGCCTTCAATGGAGACCCCAAACTTAAAGGTAGCCCTAACTGTTGACCCTGGCTCCTAACCCCCCAAACACTTCTGACACTTGTTTACAAGCATTTCGCTACACCCGCAATAACATCTGCTAAATATGTGTATGTGACCAATAACATTTGATTTAATTTGACTAACTCAACTCTACCCACAGGATATTCCACATACAGTGGCTTGAGAAAGTATTCACCCCCATTGGCATTTTTCTTATTTTGTTGCCTTACAACCTGGAATTAAAATGGATTTTTGGGGGGTTTGTATCATTTGATTTACACAACATGCCTACCGCTTTGAAGATGCAAAATATTTTTTTTTGTGAAACAATCAAGAAATAAGACAAGAAAACAGACAACTTGAGCATGCATAACTATTCACCCCCCCCCAAATCAATACTTTGTAGAGCCACCTTTTGCAGCAATTACAGTTGCAAGTCTCTTGGGGAATGTCTCTATAAGCTTGGCACATCTAGCCACTGGGATTTTTGCCCATTCTTCAAGGCAAAACTGCTCCAGCTCCTTCAAGTTGGATGGGTTCCGCTGGTGTAAAGCAATCTTTAAGTCATACCACAGATTCTCAATTGGATTGAAGTCTGGGCTTTGACTAGGCCATTCTAAGACATTTAAATGTTTCCCCTTAAACCACTCGAGTGTTGCTTTAGCAGTATGCTGGAAGGTGAACCTCCGTCCCAGTCTCAAATCTCTGGAAGACTGAAACAGGTTTCCCTCAAGAATTTCCCTGTATTTAGCGCCATCCATCATTCCTTCAATTCTGACCAGTTTCCCAGTCCCTGACGATGAAAAACATGCCCACAGCATGATGCTGCCACCACCATGTTTCACTGAGGGGATGGTGTTCTCGGGGTGATGAGAGGGGTTGGGTTTGCGCCAGACATAGCGTTTTCCTTGATGGCCAAAAAGCTCAATTTTAGTCTCATCTGACTAGAGTACCTTCTTCCATATGTTTGGGGAGTCTCCCACATGCCTTTTGGCGAACACCAAACCTGTTTGCTTATTTTTTTCTGGCCACTCTTCCGTAAAGCCCAGCTCTGTGGATTGTACGGCTTAAAGTGGTCCTATGGACAGATACTCCAATCTCTGCTGTGGAGCTTTGCAGCTCCTTAAGGGTTATCTTTGGTCTCTTTGTTGCCTCTCTGATTAATGTCCTCCTTGCCTGGTCCGTGAGTTTTGGTGGACGGCCCTCTCTTGGCAGGTTTGTTGTGGTGCCATATTCTTTCAATTTTTTAATACATTTTACATTTTAGTCATTTAGCAGACGCTATTATCCAGAGCGACTTACAGTTAGTGAGTGCATACATTTTTCATACTGGCCCCCCGGGGGAATCGAACCCATAACCCTGGCGTTGCAAGCGCCATGCTCTATCAACTGAGCTACAGGAGGCCCCTGTAGATTTAATGGTGCTCCGTGGGATGTTCAAAGTTTCTGATATTTTTTTATAGCCCAACCCTGATCTGTACTTCTCCACAACTTTGACCCTGACCTGTTTGGAGAGCTCCTTGGTCTTCATGGTGCCGCTTAGTGTTGTTTCAGACTCTGGGGCCTTTCAGAACAAGTGTATATATACTGAGATCATGTGACAGATCATGTGACACTTAGATTGCACACAGGTGGACTTTATTTAACAAATGATGTGACTTCTGAAGGTAATTGGTTGCACCAGATCTTATTTAGGGGCTTCATAGCAAAGGGGGTGAATACATATGCACGTACCACTTTTCCGTTATTAATTTTTTTGAATTTTTTGAAACAAGTAATTTTTTTCATTTCACTTCACCAATTTGGACTATTTTGTGTATGTCCATTTAAATGAAATCCAAATAAAAATCAATTTAAATTACAGGTTGTAATGCAACAAAATAGGAAAAACGCCAAGGGGGATGAATACTTTTGCAAGGCACTGTAGACCCACTCTGAAAATTCACAGAAAATGACTCTGTGATCTGATTGGTTGTTTTTCCGCTCCCAGCTCTGATCCAGCTGATGGCTGCAGCCAGGGCTCAGAGGGGCGTGGCCGTCTTCACCTTCAAGAACTTCAGTTTGGAGAGAGAGCTGCAGAACATGCACCACCTACTGGTCACACACATAACTACAGTGGGTGAGTTAGTGCACACAAAATAGTGGGTGAGTTAGTACACAAAGAACTTCAGTGGGTGAGTTAGTACACACCAAAGTATGTGAGCTGAGTTGAGCAGTCTGAAATCCGGGAGCGGTGCTTGCGCACTGATTGAACGTGCCACCACCTTTCCAACTGCTCTGCTAAAAACTGCTCTGTGCGCACAGGAAAAAAAAACTGCCACTCCAAATTCGCTCCACCCATCTATTCTTGTGACTACTTGGACCTACCATTTGGTTTTGAAGTATTGAAACCAAACCATATGATTTGAATGAAAAGTATTTTAATAAACGTGAAATGGTGAATGTAAGAAGCGCTCATCATTTCAAATAGGCGTATTAAACAGCATATAAACACGAAATCGGTCAGGAGCCAGACAGGGAGCCTAAGAAGGAACGAAAATGAATTATTTAGGCTATATTATTATTTCAATTCTATCAAGGATATAGCCTACAAATAAATACATTGTGAAGCATTTATGAGTGCAACACCAGGCTGGTAGTGACATAAAGCGCTCAGCATTTAAACAACATTTTGTTGTATTAAATCATTATACTCTATAAATTGCTCATATAGGCTGTGACTTACTTAGAATTAAAAACAAATTAAATGAAAAATGCCTCATTAGACTCAGTGATGCCTCAGTGATGCCTTTGAATTTATTTTTAGAAACACGAGTTCGGCCGGTCTGTGGCTTCAGGCTCATGCGTTGGTGTCCGGAGAACAGGCCAGGCAAAACGGAAAGTTCCTTGAAAGTGGGAATATGCCAGAACAATTTAATTTTTAATTTTTTTATGAGATCAGATTTTTTGTTTATAAATGCTTTCCTACAATGACACTTAGTTATCTACCCACCTCATTCCTTTATTTTAGCATGTGCACGTAGTAAGTACACCATCATGCATTTGGGATATGTGTCCTTTCAGATTCCACAATGATTCTTTAGTTATGGACACTACATCACATCACTCCCTCTCTTGCTCTTGGTCCTCCTCATCTTTGTAAGTCCCTTTGATTTTGCACCTGGGTGTTTTATCAGTTTCTTTATGAAAATATTTAGTGAACTCCATGACACTAGCTAAAGCAAGGGGCTATAGCAGCACACAAGTAGACTAGAAATGCATGCTGGGCCGGGCATTCCCGGAGCTCTAAAGTGAACACTACTGGAGCGAAATTGGATCGGGCGAGAAGGCCGACGCTCCTGCCTTTGGGAATCTCACTCCGCGCACCAGTCAAATTGGGCATGCTCCGCACCTCGCTCAAGCTCCGCTCCGCTCACATACTCTGATACACACAGAACTACAGTGGGTGAGTTATTACACACAGAACTACAGTGGGTGAGTTAGTACACACAGGACTACAGTGGGTGAGTTAGTACACACAGGACTACAGTGGGTGAGTTAGTACACACAGGACTACAGTGGGTGAGTTACCATAGATAGTAGACACAGAACTACAGTGGGTGAGTTAGTACACACAGGACTACAGTGGGTGAGTTACCATAGATAGTAGACACAGAACTACAGTGGGTGAGTTACCATAGATAGTAGACACAGAACTACAGTGGGTGAGTTACCATAGATAGTAGACACAGAACTACAGTCCATTCGGGAAAGTATTCAGACCCCTTGACTTTTTCCACATTTTGTTACGTTACAGCCTTATTCTAAAATTGATTAAATTGTTTTGTTTTTTCTCATTGGTCTACACACAATACGCCATAATGACAAAGCGAAAACAGGTTGTATTTTATTGTTGTGCACATTGTTGTGCACTAAATGACTAAAATGTAATGTAAAATGTAAATTTCTAAAAATAAACAAAAAACAGAAAAACCTTATTTACGTAAGTATTCAGACCCTTTGCTATGCGACTCGAAATTGAGCTCGGGTGCATCCTGTTTCCATTGATCATCCTTGAGATGTTTCTACAACTTGGAGTCCACCTGTGATAAATTAAATTGATTGGACCTGATTTGGAAAGGCACACACCTGTCTATATAAGGTCCCACAGTTGACAGTTCATATCAGAGCAGAAAACAAGCCATGAGGTCGAAGGAATTATCCGTAGAGCTCCGAACCAGGATTGTGTCAAGGCACAGATCTGGGGAAGGGTACCAACATTTTTTTGCAGCATTGAAGGTTCCCAAGAACACAGTGGCCTCCATCATTCTTAAATGGAAGAAGTTTGGAACCACCAAGACTCTTCCTAGAGCTTGCCACTCAGCCAAACTTAGCAATCGGGGGAGAATGGCCTTGGTCAGGGAGGTGACCAAGAACCTGATGGTCACTCTGACAGAGCTCCAGAGTTCCTCTGTGGAGATGGGAGAACCTTCCAGAAGGACAACCATCTCTGCAGCACTCCACCAATCAGGCCTTTATGGTAGAGTGGCCAGACGGAAGCCACTCCTTAGTAAAAGGCACATGACAGTCTGCTTGGAGTTTGCCAAAAGGCACCTAAATGACTCTCATGCCATGAGAAGCAAGATTCTCTGGTCTGATGAAACCAAGATTGAACTCTTTGGCCTGAATGCCAAGCGTCACATCTGGAGGAAACCTGGCACCATCCCTACGGTGAAGCATGGTGGTGGTAGCATCATGCTGTGGGAATGTTTTTCAGCGGCAGGGACTGGGAGACTAGTCAGGATCGAGGGAAAGATGAATGGAGCAAAGTACAGAGAACCTGCTCCAGAGCGCTCAGGACCTCAGACTGGGTCGAAGGTTCACCTTCCAACAGGACAACGAACCTAAGCACACAGCTAAGACAACGCAGGAGTGGCTTCGGGACAAGTCTCTGAATGTCCTTGAGTGGCCCAGCCAGAGCCCGGACTTGAACCCGATAGAACATCTCTGGAGAGACCTGAAAATAGCTGTGCAGTGACCCTCCCCATCCAACCTGACAGAGCTTGAGAGGATCTACAGAGAAGAATGGGAGAAACTCCCCAAATACAGGTGTGCCAAGCTTATAGCGTCATACCCAAGAAGACTCAAGTCCGTAATCGCTGCCAAAGGTGCTTCAACAAAGTACTGAGTAAAGGGTCTGAATACTTATGTAAATGTGAAAAAGTCCAGTGTCTGTGTTCTTTTGCCCATCTTAATCTTTTCTTTTTATTGGCCAGTCTGAGATATGGCTTTTTCTTTGCAACTCTGCCTAGAAGGTCAGCATCCCGGAGTAGCCTTTTCACTGTTGACGTTGAGACTATTTTGCGGGTACTATGTAATGAAGCTGCCAGTTGAGGACCTGAGGCGTCTGTTTTTCAAACTAGACACTAATGTATTTGTCCTCTTGCTCAGTTGTGGACCGGGGCCTCCCACTCCTCTTTCTATTCTGGTTAGAGCCAGTTTGCGCTGTTCTGTGAGGGGAGTAGTACACAGCGTTGTACGATATCTTCAGTTTCTTGGCAATTTCTCGCATGGAATAGCCTTAATTTCTCAGAACAAGAATAGACTGACGAGTTTCAGAAGAAAGTTATTTGTTTCTGGCCATTTTGAGCCTGTAATCGAACCCACAATTGATGATGCTCCAGATAATCAACTAGTCTCAAGAAGGCCAGTTTTATTGCTTCTTTAATCAGCGCAACAGTTTTCAGCTGTGCTAACATAATGGCAAAAGGGTTTTCTAATGATCAATTAGCCTTTTAAAATGATAAACTTGGATTAGCAAACACAACGTGCCATTGGAACACAGGACCGATAATAATGGACCTCTGTACGCCTATGTAGATATTCCATTAAAAATCGGCCATTTCCAGCTACAATAGCCATTTACAACATTAACAATGTCTACACTGTATTTCTGATCAATTTGATGTTATTTTAATGGACAAAAAAATTGCTTTTCTTTCGAAAACAAGGACATTTCTAAGTGACCCCAAACTTTTGAATGGTAGTGTACATGTGGGTAGAGTTAAAGTGACTATGCATAGATAATAAACAGAGAGGCAGGTTATCTTAGTGTTCTTGGGCACAGGGACTATGGTGGTCTGCTTGAAATATGTTGGTATTAAAAACTCAGTCAGGGACATGTTGAAAATGTCAGTGAAGACACTTGCCAGTTGGTCAGCGCAGGCTCGGAGTACGCGTCCTGGTAATCCGTCTGGCCCTGCAGCCTTGTGAATGTTGACCTGCTTAAAAGTCTTACTCACATCTGCTACGGAGAGTGTGATCACATAGTCATCCGGAACAGCTGATGCTCTCATGCATGCTTCAGTGTTGCTTGCCTCGACGCAAGCATCATAGAAGTGATTTAGCTCATCTGGTAGGCTTGTGTCACAGGGCTGCTCGTGGCTGGGCTTCCCTTTGTAGTCTGTAATAGTTTGCAAGCCCTGCCACATCCGACAAGCGTCAGAGCCGGTGTAGTACGATTCAATCTTAGTCCTGTATTGACTCTTTGCCTGTTTGATGGTTCATCGGAGGGCATAGCGGGATTTCTTATAAGCGTCCGGGTTAGAGTCCCGCTCCTTGAAAGCGGCTGCTCTACCCTTTTAGCTCAGTGCGGATGTTGCCTGTAATCCATGGCTTCTGGTTGGGGTATGTACGTACGGTGCCTGTGGGGACGACGTCATCGATGCACTTATTGATGAAGCCAGTGACTGATGTGGTGTACTCAATGCCATCGGAAGAATCCCGGAAACATATTCCAGTCTGTGCTAGCAAAACAGTCCTGTACCTTAGCATCTGCGTCATCTGACCACTTCCTTATTAACCGAGTCACTGGTGCTTCCTCCTTTAGTTTTTGCTTATAAGCAGGAATCAGGAGTATAGAATTATGGTCAGATTTGCCAAATGGAGGGCGAGGGTGAGCTTTGTACGTGTCTCTGTGTGTGGAGTAAAGGTGGTCTAGAGGTTTTTTTCCTCTGGTTGCACATTTAACATGCTGGTAGAAATTAGGTAGAACGGATTTAAGTTGCCCTGCATTAAAGTCCCCGGCCACAAGGAGCGCTGCCTCTGGATGAGCGTTTTCTTGTTTGCTTATGGCCTTATACAGCTCATTGAGTGCAGTCTTAGTGCCAGCATCGGTTTGTGGTGGTAAATAGACAGCTACGAAAAATATAGATGAAAACTCTCTTGGTAAATAGTGTGGTCTACTGCTTATCATGAGATACTCTACCTCAGGCGAGTCTGCAACACCGCTAAGCAAGGGGCACCACCAAGCAAGCGGCACCATGAAGACCAAGGAGCTCTCCAAGCAGGTCAGGGACAAAGTTGTGGAGAAGTACAGATCAGGGTTGGGTTATAAGAAAATATCAGAAACGTTGAACTTCCCACGGAGCATCATTAAATCCATTATAAAAAAATGGAAAGGATATGGCCTGCCAAGAGAGGGCCGCCCACCAAAACTCACGGACCAGGCAAGGAGGGCATTAATCAGAGAGGCAACAAAGAGACCAAAGATAACCCTGAAGGAGCTGCAAAGCTCCACAGCGGAATTGGAGTATCTGTCCATAGGACCACTTTAAGCTGTACACTCCACAGAGCTGGGCTTTACGGAAGAGTGGCCAGAAAAAAGACATTGCTTAAAGAAAATAATAAGCAAACACGTTTGGTGTTCACCAAAAGGCATGTGGGAGACTCCCCAAACATATGGAAGAAGGTACTCTGGTCAGATGAGACTAAAATTGAGCTTTTTGGCCATCAAGGAAAACACTATGTCTGACACAAACCCAGAAGGAAGCCTCTTCTAAAGATGATGCACACGAAAGCCCGCAAACAGTTTGCTGAAGACAAGCAGACTAAGGACATTGATTACTGGAACCATGTCCTGTGGTCTGATGAGACCAAGATAAACATATTTGGTTCAGATGGTGTCAAGCATGTTTGGCGGCAACCAGGTGAGGAGTACAAAGACAAGTGTGTCTTGCCTACAGTCAAGCATGGTGGTGGGAGTGTCATGGTCTGGGGCTGCATGAGTGCTGCCGGCACTGGGGAGCTACAGTTCATTGAGGGAACCATGAATGCCAACATGTACTGTGACATACTGAAGCAGAGCATGATCCCCTCCCTTCGGAAACTGGGCCGCAGGGCAGTATTCCAGCATGATAACGGCCCTAAACACACCTCCAAGACGACCACTGCCTTGCTAAAGAAGCTGAGGGTAAAGGTGATGGACTGGCCAAGCATGTCTCCAGACCTAAACCCTATTGAGCATCTGTGGGGCATCCTCAAACGGAAGGTGGAAGAGTGCAAGGTCTCTAACATCCACCAGCTCCGTGATGTCGTCATGGAGGAGTGGAAGAGGACTCCAGTGGCAACCTGTGAAGCTCTGGTGAACTCCATGCCCAAGAGGGTTAAGGCAGTGCTGGAAAATGATGGTGGCCACACAAAATATTGACACTTTGGGCCCAATTTGGACATTTTCACTTAGGGGTGTACTCACTTTTGTTGCCAGCGGTTTAGATATTAATGGCTGTGTGTTGTGTTATTTTGAGGGGACAGCAAATGTACACTGTTATACAAGCTGTACACTCACTACTTTACATTGTAGCAAAGTGTCATTTCTTCAGTGTTGTCACATGAAAAGATATACTCAAATATTTACAAAAATGTGAGGAGTGTACTCACTTTTGTGAGATACTGTAGATAGCTATTATTTTCTATTGGTATGATTAAGATTCTCTAAATGCAAGACCCTACACCTGCTCCCTATCAAAGCGGACTGAGGGTAGGAAAGAGATCAAACGTGGATAAAAAAAACATGGGCTTGCCTTGGGCTCTTTCAAAATATCAAGTTGTGTGGGGAAATGTTTCCTTGTGTTTTATTCTGTTATATTTCATTATATTCTTAGCCTACTATATAATATATGTGTGTTCACTGTGATCAGGGTAGCCTAAGTGTGTCTTGTCTGTTTAATGAACAAACTAACTGTTGATTTCATGTGCATGTAGTCCATAGGCTGTACAGACCAGTAACATAATGAAACTCAGAATATGCCATTCTATTTAGAAATTCAATTTTATTAGTCATATAATGTTTGTTAGGCCCTGCCTAAAACAAATGAATAATGGATTTCTTTGTGATGGTGTATATTCAATGGATTTATTCATGTAGACATCCACTCACAACGGGCCACATCTACTCCCACTCCTACACTTGCAGGCACGGGAGATATAAAAGGCTTATCCCGGCAAGAATGTGGTAAAAATGGGACTGTATGAATTGGGTTCTGAAAAACATTGCCTTTTTTACAGGCAACATACCATAAAGTCAGTCTGTAAAGTGTATTAGGATACAGGAGGTGAAACCTGATCTGAAAGTCCTCCTTCCCTTCACTGTGTTTAGTCAAACCTCATATCCTCTTAGTGGCCATGTAAATAAAGTTTGATTGATTGATTCCTCTCCCCTGTCTCAGGTAAACTGTATGAATTGCTGGATGACTACTGTGCTGTGATACAGTTGTCTCACACACATGTGGACCTGTTTGACTGGATCAGGAACACCCTGGAACACAGGAGTCAGCTGTGAGGACACATCTCAATACTCTAAAGGAGCTTCCATTCCTTGTCTCCTTTCCTTTTTAGGATTATTGAGATGCACCCCAGAGATAGAGTGGCTCTATGAATGATCTGTGGATAGAAACATAGTACAATTCCAAGTAATGGTTGATTATGAATGTGTTTCTCTTTTCGCTACTACACTGTTCCTAAATCAAACTTATACATTTGTAACTGCTGCATACTGAACTATTTAGAAAACAACTAAATGTGATGATAAAACGAAGCTAATGAAATGATGTCAGCAAAACCAGGGGTCCTGCTTTTTGATTTTTCCCTTGATGATAGCCAACAACTCAACCAGCACCAGTTGAAGTCGGAAGTTTACGGACACCTTAGCCAAATACATTTAAACTCAGTTTTTCACAATTCCTGACGTTTAATCCTAGTAAAATTCCCAGTCTTAGGTCAGTTAGGATCACCACTTTATTTTAAGAATGTGAAATGTCAGAATAATAGTAGATATAATGATTTATTTCAGCTTTTAGTTTTCTCATCACATTCCCAGTGGGTCAGAAGTTTACATACACTCAATTAGTATTTGGTAGCATTGCTTTAAATTGTTTAACTTGGGTCAAATGTTTCGGGTAGCCTTTCACAAGCTTCCCACAATAAGTTGGGTGAATTTTGGCCCATTCCTCCTGACAGAGCTGGTGTAACTGAGTCAGGTTTGTAGGCCTCCTTGCTCGCGCACACTTTTTCAGTTCTGCCCACAAATTTTCAATAGGATTGAGGTCAGGGCTTTGTGATGGCCACTCCAATACCTTGACTTTGGCTGTCCTTAAGCCATTTTGGCACAACTTTGGAAGTATGCTTGGGGTCATTGTCTATTTGGAAGACCCATTTGTGACCAAGCTTTAACTTCCTGACTGATGTCTTGAGATGTTGCTTCAATATGTCCACATAATTATCCTTCCTCATGATGGCATCTATTTTGTGAAGTGCACCAGTCCCTCCTGCAGCAAAGCACCCCCACAGCATGATGCTGCCACCCCCGTGCTTCACGGTTGGGATGGTGTTCTTCGGCTTGCAAGCAACACCCTTTTTCCTCCAAACATAACGATGGTCATTATGGCCAAACAGTTCTATTTTTGTTTCATCAGACCAGAGGACATTTCTCCAAAAAGTAAGATCTTTGTCCCCATGTGCAGTTGCAAACCGTAGTCTGCCTTTTTTATGGCGGTTTTGGAGCAGTGGCTTCTTCCTTGCTGAGCGGCCTTTCAGGTTATGTCGATATAGGACTTGTTTTACTGTGGATATAGAATATTTTGTACCTTTTCCTCCTTCACAAGGTCCTTTGCTGTTGTTCTGGGATTGATTTGCACTTTTCGCACCAAAGTACGTTCATCTCTAGGAGACAGAACGCGTCTCCTTCCTGAGCGGTATGACGGCTGCGTGGTCCCATGGTGTTTATACTTGTGTACTATTGTTTGTACAGATGAACGTGGTGCCTTCAGGCGTTTGGAAATTGCTCCCAAGGATGAACCAGACTTGTGGAGGTCTACAATTTTTTGGCTGATTTCTTTTGATTTTCCCATGATGTCAAGCAAAGAGGCACTGAGTTTGAAGGTAGGCCTTGAAATACAGCCACAGGTACACCTCCAATTGACTCAAATGATGTCAATTAGCCTATCAAAAGCTTCTAAAGCCATGACATCATTTTCTGGAATTTTTCAAGCTGTTTAAAGGCACAGTCAACTTAGTTTATGTAAACTTCTGACCCACTGGAATTGTGATATAGTGAATTATAAATTAAATAATCTATCTGTAAACAATTGTTGGAAAAATTACTTGTGTCATGCACAAAGTAGATGTCCTAACCGACTTGCCAAAACGATAGTTTGTTGACAAGAAATTTGTGGAGTGTTTGAAAAACAAGTTTTAATGACTCCAACCTAAGTGTATGTAAACTTCCGACTTCAACTGTATATATACGTGCAGTGTACTTTAAACATTTTGAATAAATTCCTCTTTATAATCCAGTGACTTCACTCTTTGTTTATTGGTAAAATGAGTCTTGTGGCTGACAGACATACCCGTCTCTCTTTCTGTCTCTCTCGCTCACACACACACACACACTCTGTCTCCCTCAAGCTATCTTGTTTTCCCTCCCTCCCTCTCTTTCTAACTCCACCCTCTGGCAGAAGCAGGAAGTCCCTCCCCCTCCTACAAACTCTCATCTGTGGAAATAAAACTGATCTCTGTCTCTGTGAGAGTGCACAACAACAGTCCAAATGGCTCAGCGGGGAGTTCTGCTGGACCAGGACCAGGACCAGTTCTGTTGTTCTGTCTGTCTGGATCTACTGAAGGAGCCGGCTATTCCTTGTGGACACAGTTACTGTAGAAGCTGTATTGAGGGCTACTGGGATCAGGATATCTACAGCTGTCCTCAGTGCAGACAGACCTTAACTCCAAGGAAAGCTAGTATGAAAATAAAAAAAGAATAATGTATGCACTAACTGTAAGTCGCTCTGGATAAGAGCGTCTGCTAAATGACGTAAATGTAAATGTAATGTTACTGCGAGACTCACCTCCAACCTCACTATGAATCTCCTGGTTTCAAGAAGCACACATTGGTTCAAAGCCACCACACAACTACAGGAGAAGATCTGCTCTCATCATGACAAACTGCTGGAGGTTTACTGTCGTACCGATCAACAGTGTATCTGTTATCAGTGTGTGATGGATGAACATAAAGGCCATGATACAGTGTCAGCTGCAGCAGAGAGGACTGAGAAACAGGTTAGACCAGAGCAACTTGTTGGTAACTCTCTGATAAACACATAATTAAAGACACAGTATGAAGGTTGGTTTAATAGGAGAGAATAAACAAAGTTGAAAAATGAAATCAATCCACAGCAGAAGAAATATAAACATCAAACCTAAATTATCCTAATGTATTACCATTGTTTAACATCAAACACCATTATCATTCTGAATGACTTTTATGAGTCCAAAGTTCAGTCTCTCTGATTAGTATTGTGTACTGTAATAACTATAATCATTCAACTGTGTGCTGTGGTGACTGTGTAGTAACTGTGTTCTGTGGTGACTGTGTAGTAACTGTGTGCTGTGGTGACTGTAGTAACTGTGTGCTGTAGGATGTTAGTAACTGTGTGGTGACTGTAGTAACTGTGTGCTGTAGTGACTGTGTAGTAACTGTGTGCTGTGGTGACTGTAGTAACTGTGCTGTGGTGACTGTGTAGTAACTGTGTGCTGTGGTGACTGTGTAGTAACTGTGTGCTGTGGTGACTGTAGTAACTGTGTGCTGTGGGACTGTGTAGTAACTGTGTGCTGTGGTGACTGACTGGTGATGTAGGTCAGGACATAGTTTAGTTGAGAGGACTGGCCTTTTTAACAATCAACAATATAGATCATATACTTTTCCAAATGGACTTTCTTAAGATTTTTATCCCTACCCTCTATAAATAATAATAATAATAATATGCCATTTAGCAGACGCTTTTATCCAAAGCGACTTACAGTCATGTGTGCATATTTTTGTTATGGGTGTCCCGGGATCGAACCCACTACCTTGGCGTTACAAGCGCCGCGCTCTACCAGCTGAGCTACAGAGGACCACAACATATAACTCTATGTTACTTTACTAGTGAACTATTGGACACATAAAACTTGATAGCTCAATGAAGAGTGTTTCTCCACAGAGTCAGCTGGGGATGAGTCAGCAGAAGGTCCAGCAGAGAGTCCAGGAGAGAGAGAAGGTGCTGAAGGAGCTCCAACAGGCTGTGGAGTCTCTCAAGGTGAGTATTATTATTGACCAGAGGAGATGCACCATTTCACTTCCCTCCTCCAGTCAGTCAGTAAGGGAGAGCAGCCACTCTCCAGTCCCACTGTCTGAGTCCCACTGTAGGTAACATGCTGTCTGGGTTCCAAGTTAGAGAGGGAATAGACTGATTAACATGGAGCCTCTCTCTCTCTCTCTCTCTCTCTGTGTCCTAACAGCGCTCTGCAGAAGTGGACAGTGGCTGAGCTGATCCGCTCCATGGAGAGAAGGCGCTCTGAGCTGAAGGAGCTGATCAGAGCCCAGGAGAAGGCTAAAGTGAGTCGAGCTGAAGGACTCCTGGAGCAGGAGATAGCTGCGCTGAGGAGGAGAGATGCTGAGTTGGAGCGTCTCTCACACACAGAGGATCACATCCATTTCCTTCAGGTAACTATACTGCCTTGTTACATGTGGCCTTATACTGTCTTGTTACATTATAAAATGTAATATCTTATTACAGGTGACACTGACTTAGAGCTAGAAGTGACCCTTCTTATAATCCAGTGAAGTCACTCTTTGTTTACTGGTAAACTAAACTGAGCATTGTGGAGCCCTGTATTGTGGCTGCTGACATTCACAAGATATGGTATTAATTAGTTATTAATAATATAAAATATTACCATTACATTCATGAAAAGCAAGCCCCATACGTTGACACAGGCAATGTCATGTCTTTATTGAATGAATAAATGATAAAAGAACAAACATAGAACACTATACTAAAATAAATACATAATTTTATTTAGTCCCAAAGAGATCCCCACCAGACCAGTAGGCATTTTCACCTTGTCACTTCATAAGTTACTACTGGATCTTATACAATGTTTGATATAATATAGTCATTTCTCATCAAGTAATCTCCCAACAGTTTGTTTACATTTGGCACAGGAGGTGGAAGAGGGGGAGGAGAAGAGAGGGGGAAAAAGAGAGGTAGGAGAGTGAGTGGACAAGAGGAGAGAAAAAAATAGGGGGATGAAAGGAAGGAGGGTGAAAAGACAGGAAGAGAGGGATGGAGAAGATAGAGAATGAGACGGGAGAGATGGAAAATGGAGGGCATTTGTATGGTTGAATAGATAGCCTCATAAAATGGGTCCATTCTTTGTCAGACTCCACAGACATTTCCCTCCATGGTTCAACAGTGCAAGAGGACCTATGGTCAGTCAATGTGCGTTTTGAGGTATCTAAAGTCTTCCATAGCAGACAGTTCAGTGTGAGTTTTGATATAGAAATAATACAGAGACACTGAATGAGGGTTCAGAGTAAGTGTGTTAAGACAATCCAGTGTATTCTGGTTAAGGGATAAGGTTAGGGTGTAGGGTTTAAATGTATGCATCCAGGTGAAAACCTGACTAAGAAGTGGAGTAACTTCAGCAGAATGAGGTAAGGGTAGGGTATAGGCCAGGGTTAGGCTATCAGTGTGCTAAGACTTTCAAGCGTATGCATCCAGTTAAAAATATTTTAACTCCAGCAGGTAGATGTTAGAGTGGAGTGTAGGCCTAGTGTATAAGGGTGTTTTGAGTAGAGTGTAGGGCAGGGATCATCAACTAGATTCAGCAGTGGGCCAAGTTTTTGTTGAGCGGATGGTCGGGGGGCCAGAACATAATTACAAATAATTTGTAGACTGCAAATTGACCACAAGAGCCCCAACATATATAATGTTTGACTAAAACATTTCAAACCTTGCTTACATTTGTATACGATCACGTGTCTCTCTATTATGCGTTGGAATACTTGGGAACAGATTTCTTAAATTAAAATCACTTGGAGCTGATTTCCTGGTGTTTTTACAGTCTTTTGAAACCCCCCGCGGTCCAAATTCGGCCCGCGTGCTGCCAGTTGGGGAACTCTGGTGTAGGGCGTGGGGTTAGGCTATCAGTGTTCTAAGACTTTCAAGTGTCAGCGTCCAGGTTAAAAGCTGTATCTATGAAGTGTTGTAACTCCACCAGGTGAGGTAAGGGTAGGGTGTAGGGGTTAGGGTGTAGGGGTTAGGGTGTAGAGGTTAGGGTATAAAAGTGAAAGCGTCCAGGTTAAAAGCTGTATCTAGGAAGTGTTGTAACTCCACCAGGTGAGCTGCTTTGTTCCCCGTAGCTGGAGCTGCTGCTGGTCCACGACCAGCATACCTACACAAACACACACACACACACACACACACACACACACAAAAAAGAATAGAGCACACAATTAATACAATACACAGGTCTATTCCCCCCACGTTTCATCAAATCACTCAATGGTATCTTTCCCTGAGCAGGTGCTGTATGAGAGAAGGAGGGTGGGTTGTACCAAACGGAGCGGGTGCAGTCAACGGTGGTTCGTAGGCGGGGTTTGACATAGTCATAGTAACCCTGGTTCTTGTGTTCTTCCTGGCACCACACCAGGTCAGCGTTAGGATAACGATGTGTCTCCACTTTCACCTGGTCAAATGGAAATGGAGAGAGCTGGAGGAAGAGAGAGAGAGAGAGAGAGAGAGAGAGAGAGAGGGAGGGAGGAGAGCAAGAGGAGAGAGAGGTGAGATTGGAAATGTGTGTGTGTGTGTGTGTGTGTGTGTGTGTGTGTGTGTGTGTGTGTGTGTGTGTACCTGCTCTATGCGTGCAATGGCCACAGTATCATCCATGCCTCTGTTGTTGCGTTCTCGGGTCAGTTCATAGTAGACCTTCCCAGTACAGAACACAATCCTCTTCACCCCCTCTGGCTTCTCACACACAGGACCACTGTCTGGGATCAGACGCTGGAAGTGGGTACCTGAAACACACACACGTCAGAGACACTGTGGCTGTTTCTCAAATAATATTTCCTTGAGTCCTCACATCCTCTCTCCTCGCCTCCTCCTCAAAACCCAATGAGCCCCACTCATCTTCCACTCTCTCCCTCCATCCCTCCATCTCTCACCTGGCAGCATGTCGTCAAAGCTGGACTTGGCCTCTGGGTGGCGCAGCAGAGACTTGGGGGTAAAGACTATCAGCTGGAGGACAGAGAGAATAAATAAAATGAGGTTAGTAAAAGGGCAATATAGGTATGAAGCCTCTGTGTACAAAGTATGTGAGGCAGAGTGTGTGTGTCTGACACTCACAGGCTTCCTGAATGGCTGTAGTATTTGTCTGCGGAGGACGTGGAAGTAGTTAGCTGGAGTAGAGCAGTTGACTATGATCCAGTTACAGTCATACAGCTGACGCACTGCAAACTCCTCAGCAGAGAATTTCTATTAGACGAGAGAAGGGACAGGGCATAAACACACACGTTTAGAGACTCCCTCGCTCTCGCTGTCTCTCGGACGTGCACAAATGCACACAAACACTCCTACATGGTCTTTCTCTCTCTAACATGCACAAACACAAACACTTACAGGGTAGGCATCTGGGTCTTCGTTACACATCTGCAGGAACCTCTCTGGTCGGGCCGAGGAGTGCTCTGGACCCTGAGTGAAGAATCATGGGATATGTAGTTTATCATCCACATGTGTCAACAGATTTTTTCCCAAACGGACACCGACATTTAGAGAGACAGAGATAGGAGCTGCAGTACTATTCTGTTCTCAGAGACTATGGCAGGCAGACAGACATAAAACTAGTCCCTACCATTCCCTCCATGCCGTGGGGCAGCAGCAGGACTATTCCGTTCTGTCTGACCCACTTGGCCTGTCCTGGGCAGATGAACTGGTCTATAATACACTGGGCTGTGTTGTGGAAGTCTCCAAACTGGGCCTCCCATAGAACCAATGCATTGGGACTGGCCATGGCAAAACCCAGCTCAAAACCTAGAGATAAAGGGGGAGAGAGGGACAGAGAAAGAGAGAGAGAGAGAGAGAGGATGGGGGGTTGTTCAGGTCAGAAGGAATGAGGATACTAACTAACAAAACAGACAACCCCCATAATGCTGTCACCAGACAACCCCCATAATGCTGTTGCATGCTGTCACCAGACAACCCCCATAATGCTGTGGCATGATGTGGCCAGACAACCCCCCATAATGCTGTCACCAGACAACCCCCATAATGCTGTGGCATGCTGTCACCAGACAACCCCCATAATGTTGTGGCATGCTGTCACCAGACAACCCCCATAATGCTGTGGCATGCTGTCACCAGACAACCCCCATAATGCTGTCACCAGACAACCCCCATAATGCTGTGGCATGCTGTCACCAGACAACCCCCATAATGCTGTGGCATGCTGTCACCAGACAACCCCCATAATGCTGTGGCATGCTGTCACCAGACAACCCCCATAATGTTGTGGCATGCTGTCACCAGACAACCCCCATAATGCTGTCACCAGACAACCCCCATAATGCTGTGGCATAATGCGCAAAATAATAGGCTGCATCTGTATGTATATGAATCTGTGCATATACTGTATGTATATGAATCTGTGCATATACTGTATGTATATGAATCTGTGCATATACTGTATGTATATGAATCTGTGCATATACTGTATGTATATGAATCTGTGCATATACTGTATGTATATGAATCTGTGCATATACTGTATGTATATGAATCTGTGCATATACTGTATGTATATGAATCTGTGCATATACTGTATGTACGTGTGTGTGTGTGTGTGTACATGTTTAACTATACTTGTGGAATTCCCATAAGAATAGTAAACAAAAATGTATTTGACCAACTGGGGACATTTTGCCAGTCCCCACAAGGAAAAAGTATATTTCTAGTGGGTATAGGGTTAGAATTAGTGTTAGGGTTAGAATAAGGGTTAAAGGTTAGAAGTTAGGTTTAAGGTTATAGGGTAAGGTTTAAGGAAAATAGGATTTTGAATTGGAATCAATTGTGTGTCCCCACAACGTTAATAAATCAAGACTGTATGTGTGCGTCCGTCCGTGCGTGCGTGTGTGTCCGTCAGTGTGTGTGCGTCCGTTTTTCCGTCTGTCCGTAGGTCCGTGTGTGTGCATCCGTGCGTCCGTCTGTCCGTGTGTGCATGTGTCCGTGAGTGTGCTAACCCAGTACTCCATACTCAGACAGAGAGCTGTTACAGACGGTGTATGGAGCCTGGTTAGGAGAGATGTGGTTCATGGGAATACAGATCCTCTTATCAACGTTCTGGTCATGGAGAACATGGTGCCTGTGACTGTAGAGAGAGGGATGGAGGGAGAGAGAGAGAGAGAGGAGAGAAAGAGAGGCAAATATAGAGAGGGATGGGAGAAGGATGGGTGGAGAAAAAGAGGGAGAGAGGGGTAAAAAGAGAGGGAGAGAAGGGTAAAGAGAGGGAGAGAGGGGTAAAGAGAGAGGGAGAGAGGGGTAAAAAGAGAGGGAGAGAGGGGTAAAGAGAGATGGAGAGGAGTACAGCGACAGAAGTTAACACACCACCAAACTGTGACAGTACTGCTTTAGCTACATGTTCATTAAACCAACATAACATCCAGTTATGTATCCCTGGTTTCCTGAAAGACACCTTACTATAGAATACTCATACTACACAACACTGTCAAGCAACTAACTTACGCACAACATAGTCATAACAGTGACATAGGCTGACCTAAGGGTGACATTAGTACCTGAAGGTTCCTCTCTCCACGTCCTGTCCGCTGAGACGTATGTGTGTTCCCTCCTTGAGCAGTGAGCCAAAGGCCATGTACTCTCCTAGAGCCCAGTCACACACACGCTGGCCCACCATCACTGCACGACCCTTTAATATACGACTCAGACCTGAACCACACACACAGATGGATGGGGATATGTACTTGTCTTCCACAGGTATTGTGTGTGTGTGTACGTGCGTGTGTGGGTGCATGTGTGCTTCCGTATGCATTTGGTGTGTGAGCTTGTGTGTGTGAATGCATGCATCCCTGTGTGTGTGTGTGTGTGTGTATCAGTACCTCCGTGTATGGTGAAGTCTTCCACGGGGACAGATGAAGCGATGTGTCCTATGTGTCCCAGCTCCTCCTCAGGCAGGCCTGTAGACAGACTGGTCATACTCTTAGGCTGGCCGTCCACGTTGAAGAAACCTACACACGCGCGCACACACACACACGCATGCAGGCACACACAAACACAGAGAGATAGAGAAAGATACATGTTGTTAGTGTCTGTCTAGAGATTTTAACATATACACATACAGTACCAGTCAAAAGTTTGGACACACCTACTAATTCCCGGGTTTTTCTTTATTTTTACTATTTTCTACATTGTAGAATAATAGTGAAGACATCAAAACTATGTAATTCACATATGGAATCATGTAGTAACCAAAACAAAGTGTTAAACAAATCAAAATATATTTTCTATTTGAGATTCTTCAAAGTAGCCACCCTTTGTCTTGATGACAGCTTTGCACACTCTTGGCATTCTTTCAACCAGCTTCATGAGGTAGTCACCTGGAATGCATTTCAATTTACAGGTGTACCCTGTTAAAAGTTAATTTGTGGAATTTCTTTCCTTCTTTTGAGCCAATTAGTTGTGTTGTGACAAGGTAGGGGTGGAATACAGAAGATAGCCCTATTTAGTAAAAGACCAAGTCCATATTATGGCAAAAACAGCTGAAATAAGCAAAGAGAAATGACAGTCCATCATTACTTTAAGACATGAAGGTCAGTCAATACGGAACATTTCAAGAACTTTGAACGTTTCTTCAAGTGCAGTCGCAAAAACCATCAAGCGCTATGATGAAACTGGCTCTCATGAGGACCGCCACAGGAAAGGAAGACCCAGAGTTACCTCTGCTGCAGAGGATAAGTTCATTAGAGTTACCAGCCTCAGAAATTGCAGCCCAAATAAACGCTTCAAAGAGTTCAAGTAACAGACACATCTCAACATCAACTGTTCAGAGGATACTGCGTGAAACAGGCCTTCATGGTCGAATTGCTGCAAAGAAACCACTACTAAAAGGACACCAATAAGAAGAAGAGACTTGCTTGGGCCAAGAAACACGAGCAATGGACATAGGTCCCCTGTAGCTCAGTTGGTAGAGCATGGCGCTTGAATAGCCAGGGTTGTGGGTTCGTTTCCCACGGGGGGCCAGTATGTAAATGTATGCACTCACTAACTGTAAGTCGCTCTGTATAAGAGCGTCTGCTAAATGATTAAAATGTAAAATGTAGACCGGTGGAAATATGTCCTTTGGTCTGATGAGTCAATATTTGAGATTTTTGGTTCCAACCGCCGTGTCTTTGTGAGGCGCAGAGTAGGTGAACGGATGATCTCTGCATGTATGGTTCCCACCGTGAAGCATGGAGGAGGAGGTGTGATGGTGTGGGGGTGCTTTGCTGGTGACACTGTATGTGATTTATTTAGAATTCAAGGCACACTTAACCAGCATGGCTACCACAGCATTCTGCTGCAATACGCCATCCCATCTGGTTTGCGCTTAGTGGGATCATTTGTTTTTCAACAGGACAATGACCCAAAACACACCTCCAGGCTGTGTAAGGGCTATTTGACCAATAAGGAGAGTGATGGAGTGCTGCATCAGACGACCTGGCCTCCACAATCACCCAACCTCAACCCAATTGAGTTGGTTTGGGATGAGTTGGACTGCAGAGTGAAGGAAAAGCAGCCAACAAGTGCTCAGCATATGTGGGAACTCCTTCAAGACTGTTGGAAAAGCATTCCAGGTGAAGCTGGTGGAGAGAATGCCAAGAGTGTGCAAAGCTGTCATCAAGGCCAAAGGTGGCTACTTTGAAGAATCGCAAATATAACATATTTTGATTTGTGTAACACTTTTTTGGTTACTACATGATTCCATATGTAATTTCATAGGTTTGATGTCTTCACTATTATTCTACAATGTAAAAATAAAGAAAAACCCTTGAATGAGTAGGTGTGTCCAAACGTTTGACTGGTACTGTATATGCACTTACTATATATTGTAAAACTTACTGTAGGTGCATGCACGCACACACACACACACACACACACACACTGACCGGGCCAGGGCGAGTCCAGCCAGTGTTTGATGTGTAGAATCTTCTCGTCTTTAGAGCGAGCATGAGCCTCCTCACAGATCTTGTCATACTTTGCTATCTCTTCCTACAGAGGGGAAGGGTTAATATCCATTTAATGTTGAATTAAGTTATACTCAACACACCACCTCGCCACCTCATGTCAATCAGTGAGTACATTCTATTTCATTCAGGATAGTATTTTATGTAAAGACAGAGGACAGAATATGATATCTAAGTACAGGTTTGTAAGGTTTGTGTGGGTCACATGGTAGATAGAGCATGGCACATGCAACGCTAGGGTTTTGGGTTCGATTCCCATGGGGGACCAGTACGAACAAATATGAAAATGTATGCTCTGGATAAGAGCGTCTGATAAATGACCTAAATGTAAAATGTTGTTTATGGTATATGATTTATATGGGCATATATATGGGTATATAGTATATATGGCAGAATGTGTTACCTCATAGTCCTGTCTGGTGACTGCTCCCTCTGCTAGGAGTTTCTCAGAGTATTTCTGGAGGACTCCTTTCTGCTTCTTGATCTGCTTGTACATCAGAGGCTGAGTGAACATGGGCTCATCCATCTCATTGTGGCCGTTACGCCTGTAACACACCTGGAGGGCACACACACACACAGAGATCAGAAGGGTGTGTAAACATGGGCTCATCCATCTCATTGTGGCCGTTACGCCTGTAACACACCTGGAGGGTCCACACACACACAGAGATCGGAAGGGTGTGTAAACATTGGCTCATTCATCTGATTAAGACGATTACACTATAGGAACACACCTTGGTGACGTTCAGTGGGGCACGCAACAGAAAACGTTATTAAGAGCTGACAGACATTTGCACTGTTTCGCTATAGCTTTAGTCATCAATACGCAAGAGGGCAATATTTTATTAATGTAGTAGTGTTTCCCCCCCTAGAAAGCTACAGTGAGGGAAAAAAGTATTTGATCCCCTGCTGATTTTGTAAGTTTGCCCACTGACAAAGAAATAATCAGTCTATAATTTTAATGGTAGGTTTATTTGAACAGTGAGAGACAGAATAACAACAACAAAATCCAGAAAAACACATGTCAAAAATGTTATAAATTGATTTGCATTTTAATGAGGGAAATAAGTATTTGACCCCCTCTCAATCAGAAAGATTTTTGGCTCCCAGGTGTCTTTTATACAGGTAACGAGCTGAGATTAGGAGCATACTCTTAAAGGGAGTGCTCCTAATCTCAGTTTGTTACATGTATAAAAGACACCTGTCCACAGAAGCAATCAATCAATCAGATTCCAAACTCTCCACCATGGCCAAGACCAAAGAGCTCTCGAAGGATGTCAGGGACCAGATTGTAGACCTACACAAGGCTGGAATGGGCTACAAGACCATCGCCAAGCAGCTTGGTGAGAAGGTGACAACAGTTGGTGCGATTATTCGCAAATGGAAGAAACACAAAAGAACTGTCAATCTCCCTCGGCCTGGGGCTCCATGCAAGATCTCACCTCGTGGAGTTGCAATGATCATGAGAACGGTGAGGAATCAGCCCAGAACTACACGGGAGGATCTTGTCAATGATCTCAAGGCAGCTGGGACCATAGTCACCAAGAAAACAATTGGTAACACACCACGCCGTGAAGGACTGAAATCCTGCAGCGCCCGCAAGGTCCCCCTGCTCAAGAAAGCACATATACAGGCCTGTCTGAAGTTTGCCAATGAACATCTGAATGATTCAGAGGAGAACTGGGTGAAAGTGTTGTGGTCAGATGAGACCAAAATTAAGCTCTTTGGCATCAACTCAACTCGCCGTGTTTGGAGGAGGAGGAATGCTGCCTATGACCCCAAGAACACCATCCCCACCGTAAAACATGGAGGTGGAAACATTATGCTTTGGGGGTGTTTTTCTGCTAAGGGGACAGGACAAATTCACTGCATCAAAGGGACGATGGACGGGGCCATGTACCATCAAATCTTGGGTGAGAACCTCCTTCCTTCAGCCAGGGCATTGAAAATGGGTCGTGGATGGGTATTCCAGCATGACAATGACCCAAAACACACGGCCAAGGCAACAAAGGAGTGGCTCAAGAAGAAGCACATTAAGGTCCTGGAGTGGCCTAGCCAGTCTCCAGACCTTAATCGCATAGAAAAATCTGTGGAGGGAGCTGAAGGTTTGAGTTGCCAAACGTCAGCCTCGAAACCTTAATGACTTGGAGAAGATCTGCAAAGAGAAGTGGGACAAAATTCCTCCTGAGATGTGTGCAATCCTGGTGGCCAACTACAAGAAACGTCTGACCTCTGTGATTGCCAACAAGGGTTTTGCCACCAAGTACTAAGTCATGTTTTGCAGAGGGGTTAAATACTTATTTCCCTCATTAAAATGCAAATCAATTTATAACATATTTGACATGCGTTTTTCTGGATTTGTTTGTTGTTATTCTGTCTCTCACTGTTCAAATAAACCTACCATTAAAATTATAGACTGATCATGTCTTTGTCAGTGGGCAAAATTACAAAAATAGCAGGGGATCAAATACTTTTTTCCCCTCACTGTATGACCTTTGGCTTTCACCTGGAATTGTTTATTTATGTCTGAGAAAAAAAATAAATAATAATTCAACCCATATGACCTAGTACACAATAGAAGTATAATAAAACATATACAAATATGATGATGTGATCAAATCTATTTGTTTTGTGAATGAATAAGCCTTTTCATACTTTATAATATGTCCATATATAGCTAATCTGTTTTAGGAAAATCTACCCAAAATATTTAACTTTATTACTTTACCAAACATATCATGACATTAGTGATAGTCAAAATCTGTTACATTTGTGAAAGTCTGAATCAACATTTGGGCCATTTAAACAGTGTGCGTCCCTCCTATAGACAAGGGGAGAAGGGCTATGTAAAGGACTCCATTTTGTCATTCTGAGCATACAGTACCAGTCAAAAGTTTGGACACACCTACTCATTCAAGGGTTTTTCTTTATTTTTACCATTTTCTACATTGTAGAATAATAGTGAAGACATCAAAACTATGAAATAACACATATGGAATCATGTAGTAACCAAAAAAGTGTTAAATCAAAATATGTTATATTTGAGATTCTTCAAAGTAGCCACCCTTTGTCTTGATGACAGCTTTGCACACTCTTGGCATTCTCTCAACCAGCTTCATGAGGTAGTCACCTGGAATGCATTTAATTTAACAGGTGTACCCTGTTAAAAGTTAATTTGTGGTATTTCTTTCCTTCTTAATGCGTTTGAGCCAATTAGTTGTGTTGTGACAAGGTAGGGGTGGAATACAGAAGATAGCCCTATTTAGTAAAAGACCAAGTCCATATTATGGCAAGAACAGCTGAAATAAGCAAAGAGAAATGACAGTCCATCATTACTTTAAGACATGAAGGTCAGTCAATACGGAACATTTCAAGAACTTTGAACGTTTCTTCAAGTGCAGTCGCAAAATCCATCAAGCGCTATGATGAAACTGGCTCTCATGAGGACCGCCACAGGAAAGGAAGACCCAGAGTTACCTCTGCTGCAGAGGATAAGTTCATTAGAGTTACCAGCCTCAGAAATTGCAGCCCAAATAAACGCTTCAAAGAGTTCAAGTAACAGACACATCTCAACATCAACTGTTCAGAGGATACTGCGTGAAACAGGCCTTCATGGTCGAATTGCTGCAAAGAAACCACTACTAAAAGGACACCAATAAGAAGAAGAGACTTGCTTGGGCCGGTGGAAATCTGTCCTTTGGTCTGATGAGTCCAAATTTGAGATTTTTGGTTCCAACCGCCGTGTCTTTGTGAGACGCAGAGTAGGTGAACGGATGATCTCCGCATATGTGGTTCCCACCGTGAAGCATGGAGGAGGTGTGATGGTGTAGGGGTGCTTTGCTGGTGACACTATCGTGATTTATTTAGAATTCAAGGCACAGTTAACCAGCATGGCTACCACAGAATTCTGCAGCGATAAGCCATCCCATCTGGTTTGCGCTTAGTGGGACTATCATTTGTTTCCAACAGGACAATGACCCAACACACCTCCAGGCTGTGTAAGGACTATTTGACCAAGAAGGAGAGTGATGGAGTGCTGCATTAGATGACCTGGCCTCCACAATCACCCGACCTCAACCCAATTGAGATGGTTTGGGATGAGTTGGACTGCAGAGTGAAGGAAAAGCAGCCAACAAGTGCTCAGCATATGTGGGAACTCCTTCAAGACTGTTGGAAAAGCATTCCAGGTGAAGCTGGTTGAGAGAATGCCAAGAGTGTGCAAAGCTGTCATCAAGGCAAAGGGTGGCTACTTTGAAAAATCTAAAATATATTTTAATTTGTTTAACACTTTTATGGTTACTACATGATTCCATATGTGTTATTTCATAGTTTTGATGTCTTCACTATTATCCTGCAATGTGGAAAATAGTAAAAATAAAGAAAAACCCTTGAATGAGTAGGTGTGTCCAAACTTTTAAAATGGTACTGTATGCAATGTGTCTGCCTCCGACATAAAACAAATGTTTCACTTTTACACAAAATTACTTCTTTACTTATTTTAGGAAGTGTGTAGGTTGCATTCTTTATCGTATAGCTATGCAAGTTATGTATTTAGATCCGCCTGCTCGAGACATATTTAGCTATTGCTTTGCCATGTCTGTGCTGTGAAGCAGTCGAGCTGGATACATGTTTTTCTAAGTAACTCCCCTTTTGACATAACGTTGCAGTGAAGTTATATAAATCGATGTAATGCTGCAGCTGACCACCAGAGGGAGGCAAATACAAGTTTATTCGACCGAGCATGTTTACATGGTCCTTGAAAGGTCTGGATTGCAGTCTTCTGACATAAAACGGTGGGAAATCAATAAAAGAAGTCATGTAAACATATACGAGTGGCGCAGTGGTCTAAGGTACTGCAACACAGTGCTAGCTGTGCCACTAGAGATCCTGGTTCGAATCCAGGCTCTGTCGTAGCCGGCCGCGACCGGGAGACCCGTGGGGCGGCGCGCAATTGGCCCAGCGTCGTCCAGGGTAGGGGAGGGAATGGCCTGCAGGGATGTAGCTCAGTTGATAGAGCATGGTGTTTGCAACGCCATGGTTGTGGGTTCGATTCCCACAGGGGGTATGAAAAAATATATATATATATATATATATTAATGTATGCACTGTAAGTCGCTCTGGATAAGAGCGTCTGCTAAATGACTAAAATGTAAATGTAAAAATGTACATATTTTTTAAAAGTAATTCTAGTGCCCGATTTCAGGGACTGTCAGGTTAAGAGGTAAACTGACAACGAAAATCCTGTTTCAGTCAGTTTTCTTCCGTTTGCCTAATTACATTTACATTACATTTACGTCATTTAGCAGACGCTCTTATCCAGAGCGACTTACAAATAGGTGCATTCACCTTATTGTGGGATAACCACTTTACAATGTATTTATTTTTTGGGGGGGGGTAGAAGGATTACTTTATCCTATCCCAGGTATTCCTTAAAGAGGTGGGGTTTCAAATGTCTCCGGAAGGTGGTGAGTGACTCCGCTGTCCAATGAACACCACCCTGATCAGGGAACACACTCACCAAGTCTACCACCACGTCCTTGTGAAAGGTGGCTCTCCACTCGGCGGCGACGTTACACACGTACATGACAGCCTCGGGGTCGTCAGCATTGACGTGGAAGATGGGGGCGTTGACCACCTTGGCCACGTCTGTAGGGTATGAGGATGATCTCGCCACCCTGGGGTCGGTTGTGAAACCAATCTACAGGGAGGAGAGACAGGTGGTTAGAGGGTGTGTGGGTGGGGGGAGCGGGCGTGTAATGTGGTTGTGCTTGCATGCATGTGTGAGTGATGTAGGAGGTTTTGTGAGTGTGTGTGGGTGCGTGTGTGTGTGTAGGTTACGGAGAACAGCAGGCCATCCATGGGGCTGTTAAAGTGTGTTTGTTACCTGGTTGTTAATCTCGAAACCCAGAACCAAATATTGTGTACACTAGCTATCTCTATTTACGTAAGTAAGCCCCTCCCCACTACAGAAACACCCAACATTTTCAGTAAAACTCCCCCCATCCACTTCAAGCATCACCTCCACAAAATCAGTATTTGTCAAAGAGTCTGTGACACGATATACCAAATGAAGATCATCAGAAGAACTTGGACAGTGCCTTGGGTGGTGTAGCAGGATGTGTGTTACCTGGTTGTTGACCACCACATGGACAGTGCCATGTGTGGTGTAGGAGGGCAGGTCAGAGAGGTGGAAGGTCTCGTAGACAACCCCCTGGCCTGCAAACGCTGCATCACCATGGAGCAGGATGGACATCACCTGGAACACACAGAAATATTCATGCACACGGTTTGTGTGTTTGTGTGCATGTGTGTGTGTGTACATACTCTTTTGCCCTCTGTGTCTCCAGAGTAGAACTGCTCAGCCTTGGTCTTGCCCTGCACCACGGGGTCCACAGCCTCCAGGTGGGAGGGGTTAGCCATGAGTGACAGCGTGATGTTCCTATCAGTGACCCGGTTGATCCTACGGTGCCACATCCCCAAATGGTACTTCACATCTCCAGAACCCTGATAGGGAGGAGGAGAGAGAGCGAGTAAGAGAGAGCAAGAACATATGTTTCCCATGCCAATAAAGCCCATAAATTGAAATTGAGAGAGAGAGAGAGAGAGAGAGAGAGAGAGAGAGAGAGAGAGAGAGAGAGAGAGAGAGAGAGAGAGAGAGAGAGACATCACCTACAGAGAAATGAACCTGGAGAAGAGTCCCCTAAACAAGCTGGTCCCGGGGCTCTGTTCACAAACACAAACAGACCCCACAGAGCCCCAGGACAGCAACACAATTAGACCCAACCAAATCATGAGAAAACAAAAAGAGAATTACTTGACACATTGGAAAGAATTAACAAAAACAGAGCAAACTAGAATGCTATTTGGCCCTAAACAGAGAGTACACAGTGGCAGAATACCTGACCACTGTGACTGACTCAAAATTAAGGAAAGCTTTGACAGTGGCTTGCGAAAGTATTCACCCCCCTTGGCATTTTTCCTATTTTGTTGCCTTACAACCTGGAATTAAAATTGATTTTTGGGGGGTTTGTATCATTTGATTTACACAACATGCCTACCACTTTGAAGATTTTTTTGTGAAACAAACAAGAAATAAGACAAAAAAACAGAAAACTTGAGTGTGCATAACTATTCACCCCCCCAAAGTCAATACTTTGTAGAGCCACCTTTTGCAGCAATTACAGCTGCAAGTCTCTTGGGGTATGTCTCCATAAGCTATGCACATCTAGCCACTGGGATTTCTGCCCATTCTTCAAGGCAAAGCTGCTCCAGCTCCTTCAAGTTGGATGGGTTCCGCTGGTGTACATCAATCTTTAAGTCATACCACAGATTCTCAATTGGATTGAGGTCTGGGCTTTGACTAGGCCATTCCAAGACATTTAAATGTTTCCCCTTAAACCACTCGAGTGTTGCTTTAGCAGTATGCTTAGGGTCATTGTCCTGCTGGAAGGTGAACCTCCGATCCCAGTCTCAAATCTCTGGAAGACTGACTATAACCCAACTCTGATCTGTACTTCTCCACAACTTTGTCCCTGACCTGTTTGGAGAGCTCCTTGGTCTTCATGGTGCCGCTTGCTTAGTGGTGTTGCAGACTCTGGGGCCTTTCAGAACAGGTGTATATATACTGAGATCATGTGACAGATCATGTGAAACTTAGATTGCACACAGGTGGACTTTATTTAACTAACTATGTGACTTCTGAAGGTAATTGGTTGCACCAGATCTTATTTAGGGGCTTCATAGCAAAGGGGGTGAATACATATGCACGCACCACTCTTCCGTTATTTATTTTTTTGCATTTTTTGAAACAAGTTATTTTTTTCATTTCACCACCAATTTGGACTATTTTGTATATGTCCATTAAATGAAATCCAAATAAAAATAAATTACAGGTTGTAATGCAACAAAATAGGAAAAACGCAAAGGGGGATGAATACTTTTGCAAGGCACTGTACAGACTCAGTGAGCATAGCCTTGCTATTGAGAAAGGCAGCCGTAGGCAGACCTGGCTCTCAAGAGAAGACAGGCTATGTGCACACTGCCCACAAAATGAGGTGAAAACTGAGCTGCACTTCCTAACCTCCTGCCAAATGTATGACCATATTAGAGACACATATTTCCCTCAGATTACACAGACCCACAAAGAATTTAAAAAAAACTAATCCAATTTTGATCAACTCGCATATCTATTGGGTGAAATACCACAGTGCAATCACAGCAGCAAGATTTGTGACCTGTTGCCACAAGAAAAGGGCAACCAGTGAAGAACAAACACCATTGTAAATACACCCATATTTATGTTGATTTATTTTCCCTTTTGTGCTTTAACTATTTGCACATCGTTACAACACTGTATATAGTCATAATATGATGTGAAATAAAGGGGAGGGAGAGAGAAAGAGGTTCAGAAGTTAAATGGAGGTGAATTGTATGAGTACTACTTTTTCATTTTCTTTAGCTTATGATAAGACTTTTTCCATGTTATTCACGTTCCACATTGTGTTACCAGGAGAGTTTCCATTGTGTTACCAGGAGAGATTCCACTGTGTTACCAGGAGTTTCCATTCTAAGGCAGCAATGGACAGCATGTTACAATGTCGTCGTCGTCGTCGTCCCCCCCCCCCCCCCCCCGTTTGGTGATTAATGAGCAGGACCCTACTCTCTGCTAGCTGTATAATTTACCTCATCAGCAGCCTCCAGCTTGGAGTCAAACTGACAGAAGATCTGATCCAGCTCCTTACGGATCACATTGGCCAACACATTCAACCTCCCCCTAGAGAGAGAGAGAGAGAGAGAGAGAGAGAGAAAGAGAGATTAACTTTCATGTACGGTATAGTAAATGTTACAAGTCTAATGAACAGTCTACCTGGGTATTCCAGTAAAGAACATGTTTAAGCAGCATGTAAGTAGTTGTAATGTAAACTGTGAATATTCCCGGGATCCCAGCAACCAGGAGAGCTACAACAGTAGGTTGAGAGCGGTGTCTAGTGCTACCGTAGCTATGCTACGTGTGGGGCAGCCTGTGATTGGTGTTTCCATGGTAACAGAACCTGTGGGGCATGCCCATGATGATGCTCTCCACTCCGTTCATGCTGGACTTGTCGATGATGGTTTTCAGGGCTGGGATGAGAGACTCACAGCCCTCCAGACCAAAACGCTTCTCTGATGACCACTTCCTCTGGAGGAACTCCTCGAACCTGACCAACAGGAAGTCATACCAGGTTAGGCCCCGCCCACTAATTTTACCCAGTCCAGAATCCAGTCCTAGAGTTATACAGTGAGGTCTGGAATTATTGGATCCCTTGATAAAGAGCAAAAAAGACTGAGCTATATTGTATGTAAACATTTTATAAAAATGATATTATTTTATACTAATATAATTGCTCAGGAAAATAGATTTTGTTCAACAAGTAATCATACAAAATCTCAAAAAGATGGTCAAAATGATTGGATCCCCTGTTTCCAATACTCCAGCACCCTCCCCTTGCGAGGATAACGACACTGAGCCTTTTTCTCAAATGTTTTATGAGATTGGAGAACACATTGGGAGGGATCTTAGACCATTCCTCCATACAGAATCTTTCCAGATCCTTGATAACCTTAATCTGCGCTTATGGACTGTCCTCTTCAATTCAAACCACAGGTTTTAAATTGGGTTTAAGTCCAGAGGCAAAATGTTGATTTTGTGTTCAATTAACAATTTCTTTGTGGATTTTGATGTGTGCGTGTTTTGATTATTGTCTTACTGAAAGATCCACTTGTGGCCAAGTTTCTGCCTCCTGGCAGAGGCAACCAGATTTCTGGCTAAAATGTCCTGGTACTGGGTACAGTTAATGAAGCCATTGGATCTTAACAAGAGCCCAAGACCAGTGGAAGCAAAATAGCCCCATAATGTCAAAGATCCACCACCATATTTTACAGTAGGGAAGAGGTATTTTCTGCATTTGCATTGTTCTGTGGCCACATACTGGTGTGCATGGCCAAAAACCTATATTTTTGTGTCATATGACCACACGTACAGACAGACAGGCAGACCTGGTGGATCGAACCATTCTGGTCAGCAGGGTCCTCTTCTCCTCCAGGGTGAACTGCATGACACCTGGCCTCTCAAACCTCTGTCTGATCCACTGACACTGCTCCATGTCATTAATGAACATGAACTCTACTCCAATAGACTGACAGTACGCCATCTACAGGACAGGAAAAGAGAGGTGAGGTCAGTGTGGGCACTATTTTTGTTAGTAATGACTAAGTGAGTGTTGTACACGATACGGCGGATCTACTTTACCTCGAGGCGGCTTATGATCTCTCTGAGGGGCAGAGCGCTCTCGCTGCCCCCGATGAAGGTGGTGGTGGGGAGCCGGAACACCTTGTCCAGGTCGGACTCATCCAGACCATAGAACCCTGCCATCGTCACCATGGAGACAGGGGATAGGGGTGAAGAAACAAAATAGAATGTCAGGAGAGAGGAAGTGGAAGAAAGAGAGAGATGGAGAAAGACAGAAAGAGAGGGAATTAGAGGGAGAGCGAGGGGTGGGGGCATAGAGATGGAAGGCAAATATAAACATCAAACCTACTTGATATCTAGAGAAACACACTATATTTGAATCTAAGTTATACAGACAGCCAAAAAAAACTCAGCATTGATTGGTTAAAAGCTCATAGAGGCACAACATTAATTTGATGGACAAAAGCAGGGTTATTGCATGACACAAGAGAGATGGGAGGGATAGGATCAGGTGAGAGAGCGGAAGAGATGAAGAGAAAGAGATGTGAAGAGACAATAGAGCAATACCAAAGTTAAAATGGAGAAGGGTGTTGGAGGGAGATAGAGGGGTGACAAAAATGTCATTCAGCGTCTAGAATACTGTACTTCTAGATTCTATAAATTATATTCTAGAGTGGTATAGCAACAGGAGAGAGAGATTATTTCCTGTCTGGAATGAAAGTGTGAGCGATGATGCAAATACAAAATGGCGGCAGGCAATGGCGTGCACGTGATAGCTTAGTATTCTCTGTGACATCCTAACATATGGAATTGTTTTAAGATGGTCAAACCAAGGATCATTTAGCTATTTGATTTCGAATTTTAGAACCCCTTTAGGTATAAAAAAAGTATATAAAAAAGTATTTGATGAAACATTGAATTTGGCCTTACTGCTATTAGCCCATAGAAACGCATTGAATATCAGATTCATACATGGAAAAACGGATAGTAAAAAATTCATCAAAAGGAAGTTTGTTTTAAAATGTTGGCGGCAGGTAGCTTAGTGGTTAAGAGCGTTGTGCCAATAACCGAAAGGTCGCTGGTTCTAATCCCCGAGCCGACTAGGTGAAAAATCTGTCGATGTGCCCTTGAGCAAGACACTTAACCCTAATTGCTCATGTAAGTCGCTCTGGATAAGAGCGTCTGCTAAATAATGTAAAAAAATGTAAAATGTATATCTGAATCTGAGATATAAGAAAGATCAATATTGTTATTTATTTTTTACCCATACTTTATTTAAATTTTTTAATGGACACTAAACTATCTCCATATATCCTGCCATTCATTTTTTAAACTGGTACGGGCTAACTTCAGACGAGTCTTGTGAGGCTTGTGGGCGTCCCAGAGAAAAACATCTCATCTTGCCGTAGAGGGCTCATATTAGTGTGTAGGCCAAACCATTCAGATGCTACAGACGTTTTCGTGAGAAGACACTGCTGTAGCTCGGCCACCTTCCACTGCAGATGTGGAAGGCTACATTTGGCAGATGTGGAAGGCTACATTTGGCAGATGCGGTGGATTGAGACACAGCCCATGCAAAGAAAACATCTCTAGTTCAAACAGACCTATTTTGATGTTGTTTTTTTTTCTTCTGCTAATTAGATTTTCGCGGGGGCGTGGACATTGACTCTAGAGGTTTAAACAATATGGTCATTTTTAGATATACAGGGTAGAGTTGATAATTTCATAACGAGGACAGCGAACACTTTTGCAAGGCACACTGCATGGTCAAAGTGGGAGGAGAAAAGAAGCACTCCATAAAAACTTCCAAACGGTCAAAACCATTCAATTTTGAGATGGGGGTGAAATCCTATATAGTTGCGCTGTATATTAATTGGCTATGTCATAGCTAATTTGTAAATGATAAATATTGATACATTCATAGCTCAAACACTTAATCTGCAAAAATGACAAGTTAATTAGTGGCTGATGGTGATTTCAGAACCAAAGTGGGGGGACAAAAAACAGCCTACATTGCCCCCTAATCTGATAGTGGTAGTGGGATGGTAGAGGCCTAGTCTCCCTTATGGCTCAACTCAGGAGCCTACATAGTACATACACCATAGACATACATCATTTACACACACACACACACACACACACACACACACACACACACACCCACCCAAACACCCACCGAAGTCAGCTCAGACAGATCCAGCTCAGAGAGGCCCAGCTCATGAGCTCCATCAGCAGAAGGTTTTAATTTAGAATGGAAAATGAATGTGTTTCTGCAACAAATGTTAGTGCATTGTTCCTGTATCGTATCGGAGACCATGTATCTAGAGACGTATCGAATCGTCTTGAAAGGGGAAGATGCACATCCTTAACACACTTGTAGGCACTCATGCACTCACACACACACACACACACTTCAGAAAAGAAAAACTTGGGACCACTCTACTTCTATCACTACACTACACTCTACTGCACACAGAGCAACCAGATAGATAGACAAGAAGAGCTACAGTAAGAACTAGGGAGCGTAGCGTTATGACTATAGCGTAGCGTTATGACTATAGCGTAGCTTTATGACTATAGCGTAGCGTTATGACTATAGCGTAGCTTTATGACTATAGCGTAGCTTTATGACTATAGCGTAGCTTTATGACTATAGCGTAGCGTTATGACTATAGCGTAGCGGTATGACTATAGCGTAGCGGTATGACTATAGCGTAGCGTTATGACTATAGCGTAGCGTTATGACTGTAGCGTTATGACTATAGCGTAGCGTTATGACTATAGCGTAGCGTTATGACTATAGCGTAGCTTTATGACTATACGTAGCGTTATGACTATAGCGTAGCGTTATGACTATAGTGTAGCGTTATGACTATAGCGTAGCTTTATGACTATAGCGTAGCTTTATGACTATAGCGTAACATTATGACTATAACTACTGTTCCCTAAAGGAGGGAAATGAGGTACAACATACTATGGGGAGCCACACTCTCGCGACTTTGGTTGAAGGATCTACAATCACACCTGACAAGGCCAATGAAATCCGTGCCTCGCTGGAAGCCCCGCCATCCAAAGATGATAAGCGTGAGGCTCGGATTCATTCCTTCAATTTAATACCGCTCTTCATCGAGCCCAGGAACTGGCGGCGCGGGGTACAAACAGGTGTTGTACCTCATTCCTTCCTTCGGGGAATAGTAGTTATAGTCATAACGCTACATTCCCTTTGTCAGGAACAACATACTATGGGGAAATATTATCACGCCCCAAGCAGACCCCAACGGATATTAAACGAAAACGGCCCATGACAGACCAACCAGAACTGACACCGCCAGATGCGGCAGTCTGGGTATTATGCACACTTTCCCCTGTTCCAGCCATAAGAACCCTGTGGGCTACACTGGGACCAATGACATCCAAGTGAAAAAAAATCAAAAAAAAGTGTGTGGTGATGCCCAACTCGCCGAAGCACAAATATCTCCTATAGTCAACCCTTTAACCAACACCCAAGACGCTGCCAGACCCCTGGTGGAGTGGGCGCATACAGCACTAGGTAAATCTTGCCCCTTGCTGCTATATGCCAGGGAAATAGCCTCAACAATCCAGTGGGAGAGACGCTGCTTAGGGAGCGCCCTGCTGCGAGCTGGATTAGCAAAACAGACAAAAAGCTGGTCACATGACCAGATATCCCGGGTCCGTTCAATGTCCGTGCGTAAAGCTCGCACCAGACACAGGGCATGTAACATCTGTTGCTCTTCAGAAGCAAAAGGAGGCGAAAAGGGAAATAGCTCAAAAACTTTTGGGAGAAAGGCCACATTTCCACGCAACATCACCTTAGAGTCGCAGGGGGCGAACTGAGTACCGGATAACAGGTTTAGCCGAGGCCAAAGGATACAGCAAAACATTATAGAAAAAGGCAGTCATAAAATGGAGAGAAAAATATATATACAAACATCACAATTATAACATGGGGCATTTATGGGAGGCTTTGTACATAGGACCACAATGGAAACCATATTTTCCTAAATGTATCAGACCTCTGGTATAAATCAAAGGTACGTTTCTCTAGGGGTAGAATAGCAGAAGCTTGAGAAAGCCACATTCTCGCAGATGGTACTTCAGGTGTGGACCATAATAACAATATGCATTTTTTGGCTAAGTAAACAAGGGTATTGAACAGACGTTCAGAGTCAAACACAACATTACAATCAAAGTGGAGCAAATATAAATAAGGTGAAAAAGCAAATTGTCTACCCAAGATCTTCTGGATGTATAAATGAATATCATTCCAATAAGACTGGATTCTGCTACAGTACAAAAAAAACATGCATGAAGGTATGAAAATGTATGCACTCACTAACTGTAAGTCGCTCTGGATGAGAGCGTCTGTTAAATGACAAAAAAAATAAAATCATCAGCAAAAATTGAAATTCTATGCACTTCGTCACCCTTAGAGATGCCCCTGATGATATTACTAGACCTTATTGCCTCAGCCAGTGGTTCTATGACTAACGAGAACAGAGCAGGAATTAAAGGACAGCCTTTACGACAGCCCCTACCGATAGGAAATCTTTCTGATAATTTACCATTTGTGTTAACTGCCGCTGATGGGTTAGAATAAAGTAATTTTACTAAATTAATAGAATGGTCACCCTAGATTAACATTTTCTAATACAACAAATAAGAATTTCCACTCAACTCTTTCGAAGGCCTTTTCAGCATCGAGAGAGACAATGAGTGCAGGGTCTTTAATTCTGCCAAGGTGGTTTATGATAGTCAAAGCACGTCTCACATTGTCCATTCCAAATCTGGATTTGACAAAGCCAGTCTGATCAGGATTAATGAGGTCTGGAAGTAGGACCTCCAAACTGCGAGGAAGTGTCTTAGCTACTATTTTAACATCAACTCCTAGCAAACTGATAGGTCTAAACGAAGCGCAGTTTAATGGGTTTTTGTCATTTTTTTGTATCAGGCTAATGGATACAGTTTTCCAGGACTCTGGTATGATGTCTCTTTCGAACATATCATTTGGAGCAGGCATGAAGATAGGGCATATCTCAGGCCAGAACTTCTTGTAGAACTCTGCAGAGAAGCTGTCTAGGCCGTGTGCCTTGCCAGAAGGCATTGCCTTAATAGTTTCCCAAACCTCTTCAGGAGTAAAGGGAGCATTTAGTCTATATCTATTGTCATGACTC